CCGTAACCTGTACACAATATTCTAAATAATTACCTATGTCAGTCATAAACTCCATAGTGTTTTATTGTGTAAACTTGCTTAATAAACGTAAAAAAATAACTCAAGCAATCTTGTTTCGGTTATCGACATGACTAATCGAGACAACGTAGCGTACCTATTCGGAAACGGCGCCTGCGCCTAGTGCCTAGATAGTTTTGGAGGCTGCTGACAATTCATTATAATGACTATGCATTTACATTATAAATAAGGGAATGGTGTTCCGAGCGTTCGCCTTGGACAGGCTTCCTGCAGATCGGTACGCGCCGCGCCCGCGGTGAAGGGGCCTGCAGCTCTTTGTTCCTAACAGAGAAATGTTGCGAAACTGGTCTTTGACCTTTTATTTATTATGGCATGTTACAGTCTTAAGAATAATAAGGGGCAATATATAATGTAGTGCATTTCATATAGAATTTTGTAATTAGCTACGCCACTATGACCGTTAATTAGCAACCAATTATTACAAGACTACCTAATCAATAATTACTTACGTAAACTTAAGTAAGTTGGTTCGCCAACTGGCAAATTATTATTTAAGTAAGTTGTCTGATGATCCAAACCAACCGGTTTCTTTGTTTACGATGAGATTGAAAGTTTATTCCGTGACATTTCGGAATCCAGTGTCGTTTATAAAATGGCACTGATTTTAATATTATTTAAAAAGATGTACAGTATATGTATACATAATTTATATTGCTTTATCAACTTTTCTATGTCTTACACAGATAAAAAAAGTATAATTTGTATGCACCACTTTAAAAAAAATGTAGGTAATGAGGGTGGATGGACATACAAAAATAAACAAACATTGATACATATTATGCTTAGTTACCTACTTTATTTAAATATAAAGGTAAAGCTATTACCACATATTGTACTGTCTAGGTCTATTCTACTAACTTCACTGCGATTACCCCGCTGGCTGAACTGGCTCAGTCGGGGATTCAGTCAGGGTTGCGGGGTAATCGCAGTGGCACCACAGAGACACCGCAGCCTCTCGCGGGTCTGCGTAGAGTCCCGCCCACGCACTTTTTGGCAGACGTTGATAGGTACATTTTCAAATGACTAGGTACCATAAATTATTATTATCTATGTAGGCTATTAGCTTAAAATGCCTAGAGAAAAAAATATAATCTGTATGTACACACCTCAATCTCAAGTAAATACCTACTCCTTTTCTTTTTCAGTTAATTTATTTATTTACCAGGTTCTGATGAATGTTAATATGATTTTTATCTTATGACAAGGAAGTACACTAGACAAGTGGACATAATTTTCTTTTTTTTTACACCCAGACCTAGAGCACCTATAGATCATTATAACGTTAATCCTCGAAGCAACTGTATCTTCCCGTGTATCGTGTCATATTTTTTTGTTTTCTTTTGACAAAGACAACATATTTTTATATTTTTTTTCCTTATAACCGCAACGATTTTTATTAGGTACATGCGGTGCAGTCGTTCTGTATTCTGAGAGTGCAGCATCGGTTTACCGTACTACAAGCTCCGTTTTCTTCCTTACGGGCTCTGGACTCAGTTATGGTAATTTCTATATGACAATTTCTATGATTCAGAAATTTCTTTATGACTATATTTAATCTATTATATATTCATATTTAATCTATTATATATTCCCATGCTTACAAAATCTAACATCCTGCCTGCGAGATCTCGAATTCGATTCTCGGGTGAAGCAAAGGGAATGATGTTTTATGTACCTATAACAATAGGTTTTTTTCTATTAGGTCTTAGTACCTTTATCTATTACATATACTGAAACTGTAAATATACATAGGTAGGTATATAGTCAGACGTGTGTGAACGCACATTCAGCATATAATAAATATTCCTAAATTATATCTGACCTGTTAGATCTTAGGTATAATAAAAATATGTTCAATTTAGAATTTTAGACAATCAATAAACACGGATATAGGAATTTAACGTTTTAAAATTAGCAAATGTAAAAGTCAAGATTCAAGGTGAGCTGGTAGTGACGGGACCACGACACTTGGTTCTGGTTTTGTCGCTCTTTATGTATATTTAGTGTGGTCACTACCTTCGGTGTGTTATGTAAATCGTGACATATTAAGCTCAGGTAGTCAGGCCACTATGACAATTAGATAAAAGTTATAGTTCAAGGACAATCAAGTGTGAAAACGGGAAGGAGTCTTCGTTTGCAGCCTAATCTAAATTCTACTTGGATCTTTAATATTTATATTGGAATTATATATAGGTACATACTAAAATAAAAATAAGTTATTATAATAATAATTGCAATGAATTACAGATTTTAGCGGTAAAGTCCCCAACTTATGATGCGGTTCTAAGGATCCCAAAAAATATTAGTTTTTTTTTAGTACATACCTAGCTGTGACGTACTGATGGACGGACGGAGCTACGTATGACGGTTACGGATCCCGTTTTTCGCAATTTGGCTGATCCATAGAAGGTCGTTACCACGTAGGCATGCAAACTTACTATAAGTTATTAAAGTAATTACACAAATATAATAAGTTAATACTACTTATAAAATAATTTTGATAAAATATTATTACTTATCGGTAATATGTGGGACTGTACCTGAAAGTAGGTACTTATCTACATATTTTAGTCCATGGGTATTTTGTCTCCATTCTTTTGTTTTTTTTACTATAAAACGGTTGTCTAACGTACATATATTTTTTGCCGTTGCCCTGCACTTGAAATTTTCTTATTGCCCTGTTGATGCTTGTACTAATTCAATAACAGTAAGTTCTGTCTCAAGCATCTCGAAAATATCACAACACGACGGAAATCGCTAAGTCACTTATTTCTATAATAATTATTAGCACAGATTTTATTACCAAAAATAGGGTGCATTAATTATTTCTCATTTTAAGCACTTTAAATCACGAAACTTACGTGGGTAGATACTCTTACGATACAAGTGATATACCTAGACTAAGTGCTGACAATGAGAACTGGATGGAGAGGCGTCCGACTTCGCATTCGTTTTTTTTTTCTCTTTATAAATTAAGGGACTTTTATACGTAGTGTACACGCCAGTCCTATCAGTTCTTATATCTAAACACAAAATTAATTAGACCATTATAAGCCCTTATAGAGTTCGGTATTGACAGAATATGGTGAAACATCTCAACATCGTACATATTTATCTCGAGTTGTCTGAATAAAGCTAAGACCGTGGTCAATAGGGTCTTATAGTTGTAATAGCCTGGAGGGCAAAGCTCCCGCTCCTCATGCATGACCGAGCGGTTTCGAAACCCGGCAACTACAAATGTGACTTTTTATGTAGGTACACTCTTAATGTTAAGACACTATTAAGATACCACTGACAAACGGTGACGAATAACATCATGAGAAAACCGTTTCTGTTTGAGTGTTTCTTTTGCGTGGTGCATGGCGTCAAACTCTTACTGATGAAAAACCAACCGGTCCTTCTTCTGTCCAGGCCACCTTATTGTGGTTGATCCGCGTAAACATCGGCCCTGTTGCCCCCTATTAGTGGTAGTATGTTGGCTCTATGAGGCGCGCGAGAATCGCTACGCGCCGCAAATTCAGGTCTGCTTCTGGTTGGGCGGTGAGCTACCCTTGCTCGCCGACCGCTAATCCGCACTTACGGTGGCCGGAGATAGTCGCTTGATAACCGACGCCCAGAATGAAGAGGATACTTCCCTTACTCTCTCCATCTCCTTCTTTGCGAGCATCACTAGTTCGCAACTTTAGGCGGAAGGCGAAAACGCCATGGCTTCTCTCTAGCCACTACTCAAAGAGGGGTCTTATCGCTACCTACTCTAAACCTGAATTTATAATTTCAAACCTAAAATTAGCAAATAAGTTTGATAAACAATCAAATACGTTTGAAGTGTGGGAGAGCCAAGCTCTGGCAAAAATTTGTTGGATCGACCGGAGTAATACGACGGGCTCTGAGAAAACTGGCTGGGACTGGAAACGGTAGCAGGGTGTTTCGCCACGTGATTGAGATTACCAAAGGCCCAACCCTTGGCTTCCCTCCTATACCTCTCCAATCATTTGTGTTGTTTCATTCAATGTCTTCTGTCGCCCCGGGATGAAACGATAGGGAGTGTCAGGCTCTTAGTGATTAAAAACATTACCACCCTGTGCATTCATTACTCCAGGCCGAAACTGCAGTACCTTATCCTTATCCCTGCTGGACCCCATCTGTGGTGGTCCGCTGGGTCATTCAGGCATGTGCGAGTAGTGTTTGCCGTTGGCTCCCCCAATCTCTAAATTTCCGAAACCTTAATCCTCTAAACGCAACGCACCTGTATATCCATGTGCGGCGCCCATGTGTACGATCAGGTAATTCGTCTGCTCGTTTGCATCCAGTTCCATAAAAAGCGTAACAAAAGGCCATCTCAACAAAAATAATCGAAAATTAATTTGTCATCCATGATCCAATTAAGAACCTCCCTGTATTTTCATTGACTGGTTATCTTTACATATTCATTTGAAGAACTTCTCTTTAACAAAAGCGCAGACGTATAAAGGGAAACCGACCAAACATTAGTTAAAAAAAATTAATTCTATACGTTCTCTTAAGAAAAACTTGTTTAAACATATTATATTATTATTATTTTACATTTATATTATAAATACATTAGTACCGACCGATACTAATTTTATTATTATTTATAGCACCAAAATATAAAACATAAGGGAATTTTGTAAATAAACAACATTTTGATTATATCAGATGACCCACAGTACATTCGTAAAAAATTTAAGAGCAGTTAGAATATAAAAAAAAAAGACTGTTGAAGCGTTAGTCAATTTTGTAGTGATTATTAAGTAAGAAATGCATAGGTAAGACTAATACCTATTTATTGGAAATTAAGACATTTTGATTGGTGTTTTACTCGATTATTCTAATCACACATATTGGGTCTACTTCTTATAAGTCTGTGTTAATAAAGCTACAGATATATAGACAATACAGTACATAGACAAGACATAGAGTAATCAAAATCAATCACTAAACGCTTTGTCAATCACCTTTGCTTTTTTTAATGTGTGTTTGCGTCGCTCTTGACTATTGTATTACATTGTTCATAGAAAGCAAAATACTTTATATACCTAATTTAATAAGACACCGCCATGGCTAAGGGTGGTAATTATAATGGTGATTTATTTGAATATATAAAAGTAAGTGAAGATGAAGATGACTCCAATGCGGTCGAAATTCCATGCGAAATGGATGGAACGCTGTTGCTGTCAACCCTCGTGGCCCAGTTCCCAGGCGCTTGCGGGCTGAAATACCGGCATCCAGACAGCAAGTCAATCAGAGGGATTCGCCTAAGCGATGGCAAGTTGCACCCACCTACAGAAGTTGGTTGGGGCAAACTACTCTATATTTGTGTGTTCCCAAAAGAGAATAAACGAAAGATGGAAGACGTTTCACCCGAAAACTCTGCAGCTAAGACTAAACGCTTGGAAAAGAAATTAACATGCTCAGATTTGATTTGCTTGGGATTGCCATGGAAGTCTACAGAGGAGTCTATAAAGCAGTACTTTGAGCAGTTTGGTGAAGTGGTAATGGTACAGTTAAAACGTGATAAGAATGGATCCTTCAAAGGTTTTGGGTTCATTCGTTTTGCCACTTATGCATCTCAGATGAGAGCTTTAGCTCAGAGACACAACATTGATGGGCGCTGGGTAGATGTACGTATCCCGAATTCAAAAGAAGGTGTTGTGCCACAGATGCCTTGCAAAGTATTTGTGGGAAGATGTACTGAAGACATGACCGCTGATGACCTTCGTGAATATTTTTCGAAGTTTGGTGAGGTAACCGATGTGTTTGTTCCTCGTCCATTCAGGGCCTTTGGATTTGTTACTTTCTTAGACCCAGAAGTGGCACAAAGCCTTTGTGGTGAAGATCATGTAATTAAAGGAGCATCTGTGTCAGTATCAAGTGCAGCACCAAAGATTAAAACTAAATCTCAGAACTGGAAGGAAGATTCCTATGGACCCAATAATTGGGAAGGAAATCGCTCTGGGGGCTCTTCAGGAGGTCCCAGCAACAATGGAGGAAACAGTAACATTGATTCTCTCAACATGCAAAACTTAGGAATCAACCCTAATGGAGGACCACCAGCTAATTTTAACTTGCCTATCAGTCTAGTGGCAGCTGCACTGAATCAAGCAGGTTGGGGTGGGTTTTTAGGTGGACCTGGTAACTCTGGCCCAAATAATTGGCAGGGTGGCCCACCACAAGGTAACCCAGGTAAAAATTGGAATGGAAATCAAAATTGGGGTCAAAATGGTCCACCACCATCTTGGAATCAAGGTGGAGGCAATCCAGGCTGGAATGGTGGGGGTAAAAGTGGTAACAACTGGAATCAAGGAAATTGGCCTAATGGGCAGGGCAACTGGAACAGTAATGGAAATGGGGGTGGTTCCAGTTCTGGTTCTGGTAGTGGTGGGTGGAATAACAACAAGCCCCAGACATGAGGTGAGCACTATGGCAGATAATTGTATCAGAGATGTTTGTATGGCAACATTTTAGTTTAAATTCTAGTCTCTAAGTAAATTTATATTTCTATGTAAAGCTGTGTAATTGAAGTAAAAACTTGGATGTGATAGGAATATCACAGGATGGTAACATGGACGCAGAAATATCCAGATGATGATGTAATAGATGTAAGGTGACCTAGAGTACTGTGTGTAATTATGTGATGTGTGAGATGAGGACTTTTGTTCAATAAAGATGTATGCTATTCTGCGATGGATGTTTAATTTCATCAAGGTTGGTTTAATTGCTATAATTAAATTATATATACTATAGTGTGAGTGAACATCTGTCTGGATGTGGATAATCTTATAATTTACAAGGTAGAGCTGTTCAGGATGGCAAGTTGTCATGGGTGTGCACAACTGTGTGTGTACTTGCGAGATGTTTGCTGCAATCAATCTCCTTGGAATGAAGTGAACTGTGTCTACACCTGTGGAACTATGGTAAGTGGTGGGTGTGTAAACAATGGTATGATCTGATATTCAATTAAGTATGATATCTGTATTTGATCTTCCTATGCAGTTGCTATAGAAAATGGATAAAAGTATCAAGAGTGCTAATACCATGTATGTGTTTGACTGATAACTCTGTGGTAACTGTGGTTTTATTTATATTGTTTGAAAAGGTGAATTGAATTTTTATTTATTATGTTCGTATTTTCATTAATATATAGCAACAAATAATTTAGTAATAAAATGTTCACTATTGCAGGGATGTAAAACAAAGACTGCACTCAAGACTGCAATTAATTAGCTTGGAAAGCCTTGGTGGTGTAGTCACAGTACTTACTACACTATTTTCCTCAGTTGGAAAGGACTAAGTAAGTATTGTTACATCCAGTATAAGTAAGTTTTTCTTAATTTTGTAAGGTTCAAAAGTGTACTGAAGCAGAAAACTCCCATGAAATTATAAAAAGTACTTGCCATTTTAACTTTGCATAAACTACCTGTGATCCATTCTGAATCAGGTTATAAGTCAATTTCACTTAAGAAGGGTATGGCAACATCTAGTAGAAATTATATTACTAAAAACTAGGGTATACTTTTATTCTTTATAACATATATGCCATATTGTTATTAATCCTAATGTATTATTTTAATCTGAACCATTTTATTTGGTTTGTGCTTTTTTGTGAGGGGAAATGACTTCTCTCGCCCAGGGCAGTGTCAGACTAAAAACCCCCCTGTTCCTTCTCCTGTTCTGGGCCGAAGTTGCGGTGTCTCAATGCGCTTACCCTGCAACCCCGGCTGATTTGGTTTGGGCTAATGCTTTACTCCAGAATAAAATATACTTAACATGGATTAAATCAATCAAGTATCTATATCATAATACAATTCCTATTTACAATGGTTAATAGTATGTTTTACAACCATTCAGATAAAACTTGACTTCACACCATCAAGATGTAGACTTTCCACGAATGACGGGTCACCTGATGGTAATCAATCGGCGCCGACCATAGATACCCACAACACCAAGAGTTGCGAGTGCCTTTTGGGGATAAGGGTTTCGGATATTTAAGGACTTGGAAGGGATGGAGAGAGGGGGTAGGATTGGGCCTCCGATAACCTCAATCATACAGTGTAACACAGCGCTGTGGTTATTTGGCCCCGGTTTTCTGTGAGGCCTTGGTATCAGTCCATTCGATCGAGCCGGCCTATTCGTGACGAAGCTTGGTTCTCCCATACTTCCATAAATAATTTGTGTAATACATATAAAGCCGATAACAGATATCACTGAATTTGGTTTAAGTATATACTTCTTTATTCGGGAAAACTCGAGAGTGTCACTGTCGCTATTTACAACAATTCCATAAGAATAATTTTCTTAGTTGCTACGTGCTGGGCCTCGATATATCAGATACCAACTGCAACGGCTATCGAACACGAAAGCCTCAGGAGGTCCTTTCGAAATGGTGAGCAAACGGTGCTTCGGCTGAGTACTGCCGTATCAGATAAATGATTGCCGTCGCCGGCGTACTAGCGACCGGCCTTGGTACATCGCATGAGGAACTGGGAAGCAAGTCAAGCTCGCAAAGGAGGCGGAGAGCGTTAGGGATCAATCCTTTTTAAGTCCCAGCAAGAAGCATTTCGGACATAATTTTCTGAGTTTAAATGTTTAAATTCTCTAACATTTAAAAATAAATAAATAAATAGTAATAACTAATTGAATGTTTAATACTTAATTATATCTTAATCAACTTCAGTTTATTTACAAAATAACAAAAAAATCTTTAAAGTCTAAACTAAATATTTATCAATGCTCGGACTCAAGTAAAAATTGTTGTTTATTGAATATTCATGCGTTTAAATTCCCTATACTTTTGCGAAACCGGCAATTTAAGAATGTTACACAATAGTTAACTTATTCCTCAGAAGTTTGCGGTTAATTACATTTTTCACGAGCTTGGTATAAGACTAAATAAATCGACTGCGTTATTTTCAAAGTAGTTATATTGTTTGCAAATAGTGGAAGCTTTCTATTACGATAATATTGGATAAGAGCACCACATTATAAATACATATACACCTATATTTTAAAATTATAATTCTTACATCACAAGTTTAATCACATGTCATGAGATCATGGATAGTCGTTTACTAATAAACCATGAGGATTATTAGAATGAGACTCTTCCGATGAATTACTTAGGTAATAAAAGCTAGTTTAGCATTATTTTCCCCATCCTTCGTCATACTAACCGACTATATGACTTTATACAAACATATATGAGCAGTTTATTCGAAAAATAACTACGGAAATAATGTAATTTTAATGCTGCATAATAAAGTACACTTTGATTTACAAAAGATTTTATAGTGTATTTCTTACAAAAAATACATGTTATATAGTTATTTAACAAAACACTTACAAAGCAAGTTTCACTCGCTCTTAAACCCGTTTTATGGGACAATTGAAAGACTAAAAACAAAGCCTAATGACAGTATATTCCCGTTGACCCCTACCTGTTCGGGCTCGCTGTTGTACGAAAATTGTGCAAAATGTCCACGAGAAGGACCAAAACAAATGGGGGCAACGGGGATATGCTCAAGTAACGTTTCTTTCTGTCGGGTTGTTGTCAACGCGACAATGGTAATATCTCATAAAAACAGCCAAACAGCCGGTTACCGACGGATAACCACATACTAATCACATATGTTTATTTAGAATATGAAAGCAAAGCTTAGATTAGACGTAATACTTCGGTTTATTTTTTACGTCAATGTGTTTAATTTGTGTGTTCATAATTCTGTTATTATATACAGTCAGCAATCCAGAATGCACACAGCCATATAATATTTACGAGTTGTTCAAGCCTGATATCTCACTTCTTATGTAACACTTTATCGTTCGGCGTCGCGTAGGTTTGAAATAATGCCCTTTCCGTTACATTATTCTCAGCTACTTTTCTACTGACCTATTTAAAATGTCTTAATATATTTTTATTTTTTAAAAGGAAATGGCAGTTGTCCCGCCTCTGGTGACGCGAAGAAAGGGAACTGAATAGCAACTATGAACGACAGGAGAGCAACGAGAATGAATACAGACATGTCGCGCGGGACTGCTATTCCTGTGTGTTTTCACGGCATTCAAAAATTTGTGATATAATTGAAAAGATGGTGCAATAATAAATAGTGAAACATTTATAAAGTTGTTTGATTTTTGTTATAAATACCAAACGCCTCATATGTAAAATGTTACTCTTGGTTCGTTACTTTAATCAAATAGCAAACGTTGGGGCAACTGCTTATCGATTAAAAATGCTGCCAAGTCGAAAAAGTACCATTTGTTATAAAATCAAAAGTATGACAGGTCTAGAGTTAAAGATACAATTTTAGTCCTTTCACTGTGTCTGAGTAGCTGCTAGGTACCTACCGATAAATTTTCATGCACCGTGCGCCACATCGCATAACATGCGCTTTATCGCAGCATCGATACAGATTAATATTATATTGCAAGTATTTGTATCATTACCATCTGTCGCTGATGATTTAAGTGTCCAATGCTCATTCTACATTAAATTACATTCCAATATTGTTTTAGATTATGTAAGATACACTTGATATTTTTACAAAGTGAGTATGAGATTAGACAATAGTAAATAGGCTACATTATAACTTCAAGCAGGTCAACTAGGAATGAGTACAAAACTGAACTGTAAACCCTCCTTGGTGTAGTAACTCGGCTCTAGATGACGGGACAAAATTAATATTGCACCATATTAATAAAATGTCTAGACCACCAATGTTTAATTTGAAATAATGCAAAAAAAATCAAAATACACGCCATCATGAAATGGTCAATCCACAAAGTTACGCAAATCGCGAGCCATGAGTCAGCTGATTTATATGGTTATTATTATGGTCAATTGCATGCACAAAATTAGTTTAAATTTCACGTCTAACATCAAAACGTATTCTGAAGTCTCGCTATGTAATATGTATCTTTTAGGGCTGATAACTTTTATCTAATCAAATCATTGAAAAACAGCCCTTAGTGTAGATAATAAAGCAGTATTTCGAGCAGCTCTTAAAGTGTGTGGGCAACGTCACGTCTCAGTGTGAGGGACTCTAGGATTTTAGCCGACCTGGTGTTAAAATACTAATTAAATTGAAAAGTTTTTGAACATACATCCTACCCCACAGATATTTTTTTGGAATATTACATTTTTATTGTGGTATGTACACTAAGCGCCAATCTCAATAATACTCAATTATAAAGAAGCAACCAAACTACAAGATAGTTACTATACAGATAGGTTCACTCAAAGCGTCAGAAATATCAGTGCAGTTTAGCTACCAATGGTATCGAAGCATTGTAAGTCTTGTTCAAAAATAACTTAGGTAAATTAACTTTAGGACTTAGACATTTTAAGTATTACGTCCAACATCTATATCATATATCGTCATATCGTATAGTATTAGAAAACTATTGCCGTCCTTTTCTTTTTTTAGCACAACGTCGTAGGTCCGTCTTTTGTTTCAGAAATTAATTCGCACGTACCTACCCATTTACAACGAGCACAGCAATTAAACTACCTACTTAGATGTAAACCTCAAACACAAAATGTGTGAGAGTTAGAGTCAAGTAAAGCCATGAACATGTCAAAAATTTACAATAAGACATGCATTTTTTTATTTCTCTGTTCATATTAAAAATATGCTTTCAAAGAATAATTGCAAGCTATTCTCGACTTTAATAATAGAAAATTTAAAAATAATCTGTATAATAGAGCTACTATGAAACATAAAATTTAAGAAAAAAGTAAGATTGTACAAGTTTTGCCATTTTTACAACTAGAATTTTTGTACTAAATATTGAATTCACACAATAACTATATATTACTAAAAAGGTTTTTACACCAAACAAACTTTTGTTTTGATCTCATTACTTTTGTAGTGACATGTTCCATATTTTTGTATGTTTGCATAACATTGAGTCTTTCACTGTAGCAATATTTATGACAGAATATCTTTATAGTAACTCTGTTTGTACCGATAACATACATAGTATGGTAAGGTATTTTGGTTGCTTCTTTACTTTTGAATACACTGAATGCCCCATATATTTGACGCTGGCTGCAAAAAGCAAGACAGTCTCAGTTAATTTTCATTAACCAATTGGTAAACGTATTCTTGTAATATCATTGCTAAAATCCCAACATTAACATCAACATTATTTTGGAACACATTGGAAATTAAAAAACCTACCTCTACCATTACGTCATTTATACATTGCATACTATTTAAATTATAATCGTTTCCATTTTAATATAATTAATAAGATAGTTAAGCATCTATCTACATAAAAATGTACATACATATAATTTACTTAAACAGATTAATAATAGTCGGTGAGAAATAAAAATAATGTAAGCTGCAATCATACATACAGTCTTCAAGGAAGTAGTAATTATTCCCATAATAGTCACATTAATCCAAACGGATTGCTTTTGTTCCAACTGAAGCTTTGCTACATTACAAACATAAATAGAGATATACATTTTTTTATCTGAACATTTGAATTATCCTATTCATCATTATTAACATCAAACCAATCGTTCAGTCATCTGACACAAACAAAATAACAAACAGAATTAAATAACAACCACAGGAATTTTCTAACTAAAATGCTTTCAGACTAAAGAGGTAATTCAGACCTTTAGTTTCTTGGCGGGCCTAAGAGCATAGTTGAGTGTCACTTGTCGCTTGATAGTTGACCTACGTGGATTTCTCCTTCCATTCCATTCTGCTTCCATCTTTCGAGCCAATTCATAATCATTCTTTTCTTGTTCAATTATTTTTTCAATTCTAAGCTGTTCCTCCAATATTTTCTTAACATCACAATTTTTTAGTGGACTAGACAAATTTTTTACAGCTAAATTGACTTTATTGTTATTTATTGTTTCAGAAATTAATGGACTGGTTGTTTCTTTTTTGGTACTTGACTTTTTGGAATCACTTCGTAAATATGGCTTCCTCTCAGACGATACTTTCCTTTGTTTTATTTTACCTTTCTTAGGTGTTGTTTCATTTTCATCTTTTGAAATGCTGCCCATGGAGCGGGTGCGTCTAAGATTACTTTCATTATTTAATTTATTTATGCCATCAATATGAATTGTTTGTTTATTTCTATTAGGATTTTTCTTGATTGGTAAAGGTGCAACACAAGGACTAGTAGATGCAGTTTTCTTAACCTTCGATCTCATAGTATCACATTTCCCAGTGTGTTCCTGAAATTATTAAAAGTCTATTTGATTAATTTATTAAGCGAAAAAACGTAGTATCGATTTTGTTAAACTTAAGGGGGACCGTTACCTGTTTACCGTTTGAACTATTTTTATCTATTACAGAAATTAGTCATCTACGGTTTCTGCGAATACTAAAATGAATCAGACTATGAATCGCACTACAGACTGATGGAAATGTTTTATAAAATTTTGCATGTAAACTTAACCGAATACATAGAAGAAACAAAAGTTTTAGGAAAATTTTCTGTAAAAAAATATGATATAGTGAGAGCTTAGTTGTAGAGTTTTAGAGAGCTAAATGAAAACGCACGAAACAATGTTAACGTGATGGTAAGGGCGTGAAAAATTGACTAAACCAATATTCTATGCCTATACACAGACCAAAAATATTGTATTTATTACACTATCCAATTCAACACATTTATACAATATAATGTAATCACTTGAATTTATTGTGCCTGGCAAATCAATATGGACCCTTTATTGATTTCCTACTTTTGTTATACCACCTTTGTAATACTCGTATGAGAAATGGATTGCAATAAACGATTGACTATTAAGTATGTATTGACTATTATTGATAAATTTAATTACATGTACTATAAATATAATTACACAAAACAATAACATGCACAAATGTTATTAAAGAAAAAAAAATGCGGGGAAAATCTGTTAATGATGTGGATAATTTTGAATCAATTAAATTTAAATTTTAAATTACATGTTCTACTAACCTTTTGAACTTTCAGAATATTTAGGGCAATAACAAAGGCTGATGGCAAATTTTTAGCTAATGATAAGTTCCTGAGGCGACAAAGTCCTTCTAAGTATTGCGCCCGAGTTATTGGTACTGGTTCATTACTAGATGATAGTGACTCCTTTTCTATACGAAGTCCTGGTACTCGAAGTGGTAGGTTCTTGCCCATATTAAAACTGAAACAGAAATATAGTAATGACTTTCTCAAATAAACTTATTCACATATGTAACAGGTCAAATACAGTTCAAAGCTAAAAACTGTTTGCTTATATATGTTTAATTATGCATAAATTCACTATATTTATTTGTGGGGCAAAATATAGCAATAATGATGTATCCTTAATTTGCCAGTTACAATTGTTAATGAGATATATAAAAAGACGAAAGTCAAAAAAGACATGGGCACCTTGTTTTGGACATGGTGATGTTCTTATTAGTATAAGGCGTCACCCCTCCACCTGCCTGGTGTTCACTTTCTGTAGGGATACTAATTAGTAAAATAATGATTACCTTGTAGGAGTTGTAGATTCAATAGGTTTGAAATAGCATAACTCCTGTCGCATGGAGTCTACACTTCCAGTCTCAACATTTCTATTTTCAGCTAAATTAATTTTGTGTTGGAGTATTCCTGTATATGGCAGAGGCAAAGACACAAGCAAAGAAGGAACAGAGCCCTTTACTTTAACCTTGTCTTCTGTGTTACTTACTTCTTTATCACCTACTTTTGGATCGTCTTTCTGCAAAACAAAGAACATGCATTCTTTATGCCAGGGTTAAGCTTAAGCTAATATAATACTTAAAAATCACAGAACAATTTTGATAATTCCAAAAAAGTTAAGAATTTTATACTATTTGTCTTCTACTTCTATTCAAAATACGAATATTAATTAAGTCTTATTAAATCTTAGATTGCATTTAATACTCAAAGACATTTATTTTTGAACAGGTGGAGTGCCCAATTTGATGTCAATATTTTAATATGAATAAAATAATAAAAACAACAGATTTGCTCTCAGTACCCCAGTATAAGTACACCTTTTACTAACCTTTTCTTTAACATTTTCTCCATTTTCTTTATTCCATAAGCCAGGACCAAGTTTATTTTTTTTATCCATAAAGTTCTTCATTAATTTTCCATAACTGGGAACCATTTCTGGTGAAGTCCCATTTATGGGCTTGACTATCGGAGTTTTGGGTGTGGACTCATCAGAATTTACATTATCATTGGATTCATTATTTATTTGAAGGTTACTGAAACAATAATATATACATTAAGATATTTTTTTTCTTCATTTCCTTTAATTGCAAAGACACAAGGGTGCACCAGAGGTGCTGAGCCTATGAGCACTGGATGGGTATGTATGGAATACCACCCTGATCTTTTAAATTAATTGAAATTTTGTAACATATTGTGATTAATGAAAAAAATATATAGGTAAATGTATATATAAATAATTACTGTCATTGACAGAAGTATGATAAATTGTGTAATAAATTAAGAAAATGGAGTGTTGGAGTTATACAGGTTTGGTAGTAAATTAAATTGGTTGTAAATTGGTTTATTTTAGGTCTATCAGGTGAATTACTAACTATCAGAACATGATAGTGTCTGACTATCATGTTCTGTTGACCTGTTTATTTAAAATGTTTATTGACCTTTAATCTTCAGGAAATATTTATTACATAGTTTGGATTTGGACTATTATGAGCTTATTATATTTAGAAAAGATTGTAATAAATGTTGAACATAAGAATTTTGTTCAATCAAAATTTCTGCAAGGAATTAAAGCAAAATGAAACATTATTTTTAAAGACATTACTTTGCCCGTTTTTGTAAAATACTGAATTACATGAAATTTTGCAATCAATCAATTGTTGATGAAATTAAGAAGATTTTGTTTTCAAATTATTCTCTAAAGCCTGTGTAATCACAACTATAATTAATTATATATTATGAATTAATTATTACTGCCAAAAAGATAGTTACTTCATAATTAACATCATTTAACATTTTAAAATATTATTATAAAACCAATCTTGATTACGAATGAAAACTATAAATCTTAAATTTAATTATTTTTTTGGTCCTTTCACAAATTTCACTACAAAAATTATTCTCTCTATTCAAGTGTAAGTTTATACACATTATAAAACATAAAACAACAAAAATGGTAAAAACATCCACTTACTCTTTAGTGGTGGGTATTTGTAGTTTAGATAAATAATTATCTATCTTGGTAGGTTTCAGTCTAGGTTTTGCTGCAGTAGGCTTATTGTTGAGTGGTCTCCTAGGTGTGTTTTGTGGCGGCACATGATCAGAATGATCTTGTTGCATTTGCTGAGCTAAAATTTCATCTCTTTTTATATTTTCTAGGTACCTTTTATGTGCTTCTTCTTCTTCACTTTGAATTTTCCTAAAATAACATTCATAATGAGGTTTGTACTTTATTTAATCAAAATGTAGTATATTAAGCATTACATACTTGATTAATAACTCAGTTTCCTGTATGTGTCTTTGCTCTAATCTTACTCGCTCAGCCCTTAAGCGTTTCAATTCAGCCTCATATTCTGACCTTATTTCGCCAGGCTCACTTAACCTAGGTAAGGGGATGTCTGGAAAAATAACATAGCTTATATTAGCTCAATATCAATCTTACAACAATATTAAGATTAGGAAATACATTAAAACATAAAAATAAATGTAGTAATGCTTTATGTTAATACTATAAAAAGTATGTGATTATAGATGATTTTACTAGTTTCGTTTTTATAAGCTAAGATATAGCAATAGTAATAACTTGATACTTGGACCAAATTATAAAATAATGATCTTTTTGGTAGTTTACATCAACGATTTAATACATAATTTATATAACCATACAAGTTGTAAACTATAACAAAAACATTCATTAGCTTCATAACTTCATAAACAATAACAATTTATCGATTATGTACATTGCTAAATTACATGTTATTCAGTATTTTACCTTCTGGCAAATGGATGTCTTCGCCTTTAGTTTTGATTTCAATTTCTTGTGGAAATTTCGATTGGATAAAATTCCAAAGTTCAACATTCACCAAATTCTTTTGTTTTGTTGCTGTTCTCAGCCAAGATCCAATTCGCAATCGACACAGCGGACAACACAAAGCATTATTTTCTATGCTACCATTGAAACAACGTTGACAAAAATCATGAAAACACGGCAAGGTTACGGGTTCTATTAAAATAGATTGACAAATCGAACAAAATACATCTTTTAATTCTAATTTTTCTAATTTTAACAGCTTATTTTCAATTTTAGACAGCCGCTTCTTTGACTTGGCCGCCATTTTTCACTATGGTTTTTTCCAACTTTTTTCTTAAGAAATTGTCGCGTACCGGTCACACATGTGGGATTCTTTAACATGTTTGTTACCGTTTTTGTTACATTTTTCGTCATTAGGCCGAGTCTTCACTGAATAAATTGGAGGACTTTTTTAAGCATGTGACAAAGAATAAAATCATATTGTTACTTAACATAACATTTTTAAGGTATCAAATTTTCAAAACTAAATTTTCTTTTAATCAAACTTCATTGCTAGTGAGACCAAAAATACTAATACATGTATCATTCATTAGCATTAGTATTGAGAAATAAGCTTCCCTAACATAGTTGATTACAGGGGTACCAACATTTTGGATGGAGAAGCCATGTTGATATTTTCTTTCTTTTTTCGTCATGTACCGACTCACATGTATTTGAGAACGAGAAACGAACACGAAAGAAACCACGAGAAATATGGTGGTTGGAAGAGGATTTTAGATGGTGTTCTTTTGTTCTTGCAGTATTGTGGTGGATTTTTAACAAATGTTTGAGTGTGTTGTTTGAAATCTTTGTTAAAACTCAGGATTAGACCTTGGAAAATGTCTTCTATGCATTTTGTGGTTCATCCTTTGCCTGGCACTGAGGATCAATTGATAGACAGGTAAACATATTTTATCATTTAACTTGACTCCATTTCGCTCATGTTGTGAAATCCGACATTTCTTCATTGTACGATTATTTGAAGTCGCTATAAGATGAAATAGCATCAAGGGCCACGTTTCCCGTATCATTTTACGTTCACGGGAGAATTTCCATTGTATGACATGTCTTTGTCGATTTTGGTGAAGCTGATATTAATCCATACTGTGTAACGTTAATTTGGATCCGATGGCGTAATCTGATTTGTTATAAAACGATGATGTTATATTTGCAAACCAGCTTTTTGAGTTTACAGTGCCGATACCGGAGTAGTACTTAATTCTCAACTGTGACATAATAAAAATCGCTCAATACCTATTTCTTGTGTATGCATGTCTCATTACCCTCCCAATAACCAATTTCTGCAAATCATATTGTCGTAAATGATTGATTGGGATCCAAAATGTTATGTTACATGTAAAATTTGCATTTATTAAACTGTATATAAATGTAATCTTTTAAACCGTCAGCAATAATAATCATGTCATGTAGAAAATAGGGTTTGGAACATACACTAGTCATCAAAAAAACCACCCACCCATTTCTTGTTTAAAATTTATATTGCTTCATATACAAGTGGTTTCATACGTTTGTTTTTTATTTTGAGGGTCGGTAATGATGACTGACATCGTGTTTGTCGTAAATCTTATTGCACTTGAAGGTACTTAGCATTTTTACACTGAAATACTGTTTTCGCTATTTTACGTCATTACAAATTAGAACCATTCTTTCAGATTGACATAGACTGTTGTAGGCATTTCTTGTGCATATCTCTTAGTTAATTTTATGAGGCTGTAGTTTTGATAACTGTGTATAATGGACACTACTGAAGCTGAGGCGGCCCAAGTTGTGGCTCTGATGCAACTAGGTTTAAGCCAATTTGTTGCAGCCAGAAGGTAAAATCTTAGCCGTTCTGTGGTGCGGTGAGTATATTGGGTCTATATTGAAACTTTGAGTTAATACATGATAATGCTGACCACACATAGTGCACATCACCACCAATTACCTTGAAGAGATTGGCATTCGGGTAATGGCATGACCAGCAAGAAGCCCTGATCTCAACCCTATAGAGCTCTTGTGAGACACCCTTAAACAAATGGGTAAAGCCCAAAATCCAGCTACCACATTAGGGGCTTTACCACCTTGATACTTACTGCTATTAGGAAAGAATAGAACCTAATCCGTCAAGAGATTATATAAATGTTGATAAGGTCATTGAAACTGCTAAAGCAGGCTGTCATCCAAGCAAGAAAAGGGAACACAATTGAGCACTAACCATCTGCAATTCAAAAACTAGAGTGTATTTAAAATTAATCATAAGGTTTTTAAGCGGTAAAAACTCAGGTGGACTTATTTTTTTATGACCAGTGTATAACCAGATTTTTTTAGTATTTAAAATAAGATACAACTATCTATTTGTTTCAGTTAATCAGATATTCATAGATGTCATTAATGGCTATGTTATCATCACTATTAGTGGTTGTAATTAATTAGAATGCCTATTCTTACATTATCAAAAGTTTATTGTTATTTTTCTCCAATATTTAATTTAACTAGGGTATTAGTCATTACTTTCAATGATCATGGTTAATTTCCATCTGTGGTGAAATTACTTGTGTGCACCTGTAAACACAATAATATACTGAAGTGTTCAGAAATAAAATTTAACTAACATTGCTAAGATTCATTTCATTTAGACTAAGCAATTGATGCAGTTTAGCAGAATCCTTAGCTTATTCCACAAGGGATTCCTGGTAAACTTATTAGTCTAAATTAAGCTTGCTTAGTTTGTATCTTGATTGATTTTTAAATTCATGAGGATACTTTTTCCTAGTCTAGCAGGACAGGAAACAATAAGTTTTGAATTGTCGTTGAAAGATCTATATTTCTATACTAATATCTTATAATAAAAATGGATAGCAAAGTGTGTTGGTAAGCTAAGTATAACTCAACAACAACTGGACCAATTTACTAAATTATTTTTTGTTGTTTTTATTATGGTCAGGAGAAGGTTCTTATCAAAGAAAATATTAGTAAAGTAGAGGGGAAAATTGGGAAAACTGACCCATTTTGTTGTTAGGATAGTAAAAACGGTGCGAAGCGGGGGTGGGCAGCTATATAGTAAAATATATTTTTATTTACTAATCATTTTGTGCATAAAAGGTTTTTGAAGTTACAGTTTAGTTTTTGACAAAAAGGTCTTGCTCTAAAAATAAAATATCTGATACAGCCAAATTGCTATTTTCAATTTTTTTATTGGACCTACATTGTGTTTTATAATGTTTCTAATGTGGAATTTTGCAATTAATTTGAAAAAACAGAAATATTCAATTGATTCATTTGAATTTGGTAAGCTGTGCGAAAGTGTATTTAGTAAATTAAAAAACACAGTGTTTAAAGTATTCCATAAAGTACCAAAATAAATTCTGAGCTCTGAAACTATGGCTTTATTTATATATATATGTAAAGCAAGTACAGTTGGGTCTGCATACTCCCAACTGTAATAAACATAATTAATTATGCAATATTCCACATGATTGGTTGAGTCGATGTTTACCATCAGCTAATGATTTGGAGTTTTTCTATCAGTGGCTTTGTCTGTGTTTTTTGGTATATGCCAGTCAATAGGCAGACCAAATTCTATTCAAATTAAAAGAATTTATAAAAATGCTTTGTTCAGAAATAAAGGTTATAATATTTATTATTCCTGTTATTGCGAGTAGTAATCTGAACTGTATTAATCATCATGTAATGATACACAAAATGGTTTTGATTACAGGTTAAAGGAAGTTGCTGACCGTTGGAATAGATATGGGACAGGTGCTGGTTCTTCAGCGCTTAGTTCACTGCGAGGGGTGCGTGCTGTGGCCGCCGGTCCAGCTCACATTGCTTGTTTGCTGGAAGATGGTACAATCTGCCGCGCTGCCTTCTCTATCATTCCCGATAGATTGGACTTGAGTAAAAATGACGCTAGTAAGAACGGCGGCAATGGCGGCGGGGGTAGCGGTGGCGGAGGTACTAGTGGCGGCAAGCAAGGCGGCAGTGGAGGTGGTTGCGGCTCTCGACAGCAGCCACGCACCAGAGCTCGAATCATGAGGAATTCAATTCGCGCGACGCCTAGCTCACAAGGTAAGTACCTACTTTAAAAACTAATCTAGTTGCTGAAACTTGCTCGCGTTGAATTCTGGGTAACACGGTTACTCATTCTGTTTTACAAAAAAAGGAACTGAACATAATATAGTTGTGATACTGTTGATAATGTTATCTGCTATTCCAGGACTATAATAAATATTTAAGGATTTTAGGTAGGAGAATAACTAATTGCTCTCGTGAGTTCCTTGATGCGTAGTGCGAGTTTTTTTTTTATGTTAAGGCGATCGACACATTTATGACCGGTGATCTGATTGGCCTGATGCAAGTAAACCGTCCAATCAGGAGGTCTAAACGCTGGAGCGTTTTGATCGCGTTAACGTTAAGCAAACTTACGTAAGGCACTCTGAAAAAGCACTGCTAGCGAGCAATAAGGACTCATTCATGACGAGCGTGCACGTCGCGATGTCGCCACGCAGTGGACTGCGTAGATTAGTAAGACTTTTTAGTTGTTAGTCAAGCAGCGTGGGGCCGCTAGTTTTCAATATAATAATTAAATATGTCTCACTATAAAACTCAAAAACAATGTCTTACGTTAGTAACAGAGTCTTAACTTCCCACTTAGAATAGAAAACTGCAAACAGTGCCACATAAAATATCGGTTTAGTTTTTGCCGTTCTTGTGTTATAATATAAAACTAACATTTTTTTTTATTAAATTAAGTTTACAGTAATAATGATAGGAGCAGTGTTATTGTTAAAGTTAATCAATTTATTTTGCACAGGATCTACCAGCCGAGCGACAGGCGTTATTATCGGTGCGTCGGGGTCTGGGCGAGTTGTGTCGGTTCCAGCGCCTTTTGTGCCCGAAGATCTGGTAACGCAGGCTCAAGTGGTCCTGCAGGGAAAGAGCAGGAGCCTAATTATAAGAGAGTTGCAGGTACCATTTATTTAATTTTCTGATGTTATAAATGCGAAAGTTACAGACCCCGGCACGTAACTTGGCAAGAGTCGTTAAATGCGCAGAAGTCATATTTTAGATGCCTCTGGTACGCAAGCGGGGCGCGGGGTGTGTGACAACGCCGAGCCGAGTGCGTGATTGGTGCGTCAGTAGACCCTTGCCCCCCGCACTGTGTCCACGTCTCGTTCGCTCCCGAATACACTTGTGTGCCCTAAAGTTGATCTCTTTGTTTTTGTTAAGTTTAAAGTTTATTGTTTCGTTTTTGTTATAAGTTGTTGTTTTTGTTACGAATTGTTGTTGTTTTTTATTTAAATTTTGCTTTTGGTTATTACAATGCCGAGATCAAACGTTATTTTACGTAGACAGGCCAGAAAAATGGTCTATGATGTGTATTTGATATATAACAAACATATCAAAAGAAACTCTTACTGAAAAAGAGACGGTTAAACGTTACTTTTAAATTAATTTAGGTATTTTATTTATAGCACCTAATAAATATCACGAATTAATTTCCTTCCATTTAAACAGATATTGAAAATATATTATGGCAATAATCATAAAAAAATTACAATCACTAAAAGGGACCACTTTTTTTTCCATTAAGTGCACGATGCGCGAACTTTCCCCCCACTACTCCAACTTCTTGCCAAGTGAGGTGCCGGCTACTGTACGATGTTTGGATGTTAGTTACTCAATCACGCCAAAACGGCTGGACAGATCTGGATGAAATTTGGCACAGGCATAGAAGACACTCTGGAATATCAACATAACATGCGGGCGAGCCGCGGGCGGAAGCTAGTTTTCTGATAATCAATGGTGGTTAGGTCATACTAAACATTTAGAATCTTTGTAAAATGATATAGAGAACCAACTTGGACGTGAACCTTGCGGTGAACAACTTGCTGTCGCGTGACGATGAAGAGGGCGAGGAACCAGAGGGTGGCGAAGGTGGTGACGGCTACGTGCCGGAGGATCTGATATCTCTTCTGGATGGAGGATTTCACGCCGCGCAGCAGGACCACTCCGTCATCATCGATGCTGACACCATGTTTTCTGAGGACATCTTCGGGTACGCGGCTATCAGAAGGTATACCTGTCAGCTATGCTCCTCTGCCTCACCACACACTCCTGCCTGTAGTAAAGATAGTCCTCAACCCAATCTCTAGCACGCTGTCAAGCTTACGCAGTTTCCATTTATGTTGTGATTGGGAATTTACTTGATGTTTACACGTATATAGACAGATATTTTAGCAACAGTGCATGTGTTTTGTTTCTCTCCTTGCACTGATCACATTCCCATTGTATTTTGTAATTTATATTTTTGTTTGGTAGAAGTAGTGGTAGAATCACAGATATAAAGACGGTCAGGTTATGTTTGTGCTAATATGTGAGTAAAGAATCGCGAGTAATTTATGAAAGAGAAACGACCATTCTTTATATCTGTGAAGACTGCACTTGCCATAGATTGGGCTAAAGCAATGTTGTATAATAGTCGCAGTGGGGGTGGCGGTAGCAGCAGCGGCGGGCGGGGCGGCGCCAGTCGCGAGAGTAGCAGTTCCACACAGGAGCGGCCCTCCGAGTTCAGTCGTTGGCGCGAGCGACAGTACTTCGGGCCTCGCAGGTGGCTCGAATCTGCACTACGCGACACTTCTTGGGACAAGGATGGTGGTAATAATGATGGAGGTAAATAATGTGTTCATCTTGATTTGTTTTAGATAACAATTACGATTCAATTAAATACGCTTTTATCAAAAAAATAAATAAATTATATCACAGCAGAGAGCAAGAAAAAGGATTCTTCAATTGCGGCTTCACCACTTTGGGTTTCGGAAGAATTGGAGTACTGGGACAGTAACATTCGGTTTACCCACATTGCGGCAACATTTAGTGAGCTAATCGCGATCTCTACCCAAGGCCAACTGCACCAATGGCGATGGGCTGATGCTCACCCTTACCAACGTAATGATGTAAGTACCAACTTTAAATACAAGTATACCTACATTTAATTTCGATGGTAGTTATTGTGCACATTTTAATTTGTTAGTTAGTATGTTGTGTAGCTACACATTTTTTTCTGTTTTCATGAAATAGGCGTCGGGATCAGCGAGTGCCTTCCATCCTCGTGCAACCTGGCTGGGTATGACTCCTGGAGAGAGAATTATCAACATCAGTGCCGCCGGCATCCGTATATCTGTACTCACAGATACCGGCAGGATTGCTACCTTCCTAGACGAATCTATTGGTGAATATTTTACGCTCCATTAACATATACCTTACTATTTTAATATTCTTTCTTTTAACTTTAACTTATATATATGTTGTTACTTTTGTAGCTCATGCTCCAGGAGCTTCACGTCTAGAACATCCTCTGCAGACATTCATGGAATTTGGATCTGACAAGGCAATCTCTCTACATGTATGCTCTCTGTATACTGTCGCGAGGTTGGACTCTGGGGCACTTTATTGGTGGTAAGATCAAGTTTTTCACTGACTTAAACTGTTTAAGTAGTAATCATTCTTAAGGAGGTAATAATTTTTAATCAATACAAATATCTGAAATGCCTCTAGTGAAGTATAGAGTTAGTATAATAATTTAAAATAATGGGTAAAATTGATGTTTAAGTGTAAGATTCTAAAGTATTTCATTTACTTAAAACTTTATTTTGTCATCAGGGGAGTTCTTCCATTGGGTCAGAGAGCGCGTCTCTGGGAAAAACATCGCGCTCGGTCTCGCAAACAGCAACGTGGGCATTCGTCCACAGCGCCGCAAGACTTGCAGGCTGGACAGAGCGTTACTATGAAGAATGCTCCTATGTATCAACCTGGTGCTGTTGGTAAGAACTATGAGTTGTACATATATCTTTGTTATGCAGCTACTAAAAGAGCAATGTTTGGATCTTTTTGATGTTGACTATATATGCAATCATTTGTTTAAAATTATTATTATCTGACACTGTTTTATGTTGTATTATGACAGGATTCAATATGTCAACGGGTGTACCGAAAGTGGGTGTGCTACAGAATGCTGCCTGGAACCTTTCTGATATGTGCCGGTTTAAATTGTTACCACCACCACAACCTGACCGCTCGGTTTCAGATAAAGATAAACGAGATTTACAGGTAAATTCTTTACAACTGATGGTTAATAAAAAAGTGTTCCTATTTTAATCAAAACACTTTATTTCTTGTTGTGATTCTAGTGTAAAAATTGTAATTGTATCCTTTTCTTGTTACAGAATCAGTCACCACTAACAGTATCATCTGTAAAAGCTTCATCATCTAGTGGCAACAGTAAGGATGGGGCCAAGGATAGCAACAAGGATATGGCTGACCGCCTTGATATGCCCCCGCCGCCTAGTCCGGCTTCTTCAACCTGCAGTGATACAAGCACATCACACAGTCAGTATAAATTACTGGAAATCAGCAAATATTGCTTGTAGACAGAGTTACTAATTTATTAACTGTACATCTCAATCCTTTTATAGAACGTGCCAAGCGTGTAACCGTACGCGGTGAAGAAGGTTCGTCTAACGATGGTTCCAAGCGTGATGAGGAAGAATGGCCGCTAAAAGAGGTGGTATTCCTTGAAGATGTCAAAAGTGTGCCATTAGGGCGAGTGCTTAAAGTAGATGGCGCGTACGCTGCCGTACGTTTTCCTACTATAGGCAAGGACGGTAAAGAGGTCGTACCATCCACACCTGATGATCTATCGACGCTACTACAAGATTGCCGACTTGTGCGGAAAGATGACTTAGTAGCTGTCAAGTGGGGTGTTGGTGGTGCTGCTGGACCACGAGGACCTGATTGTCTGCAACGGTCGCCTAGAAAAATAGCATTGCCGGCTGATGTGCAAGTTATTACTATCGCTGTAAGTATTGTCAAACTAAATGTTAATAAATGTTTTAGATTTATTCCTTGTAGCTGACCATTAACCCTTTATTACTTTAGGTGGATAGCCGTGGTGTGCACGCGGTGGTACGCAGACCGGGCGGAGCTCTAGCGTACGCTGTCTATGCTGTGGGAACTACACGCGCACTGACAGACAGCGTTTTCCCCACCGACAACAATGCATTGCTCGGATATTCTAATGGACAAGCTATACAACTAACTACAGCTGCAGAGGTGTGTATAACTACGTAAATAAGAATGATAATTTTATTCATAAGATGTCTAGTGCACACCTGCAATAGTGGGAATGCTTGAAACAACCGTGCAATGTTTGCGTACAGGGCAGCGAGCCAGTGGTGATGATGTTGGACGGGAACGGCGCGCTGTACCCGGTGTCGCGCGACTGCGTGGGCATGGTGCGCGAGCCGCCCGCGCTGAACCTGGCGCCGGCGCGGGCGCTGGCGGCGCACGCGCTGCCGCTGCATCCGCACGCCGCCGCCGCCGCCGCCGCGCATCCGCACCACTCTGCGCTCAAGTCGCAGGTTTGCGACCTATTCATTCATTCCTCATCTCGCTAAACTCGTCAATACCTAAACCGATTTGACTAATTTTAATCTTTAAATATTCGTCAAATTCTATCCATAACAGAAAACAAGATTGAATTGCAATAAAATGAGTAACCATCATTTTTATTTCCCATATATAAGCTGGTTTGATGACATTACAAATTAGACATTTGACATTCAGGAAAACTGTTAATTTTTTAAGTGAATTTTCGCCAGGTCAGTTAAAGAAATTACTTTATATTTGTTTTATGTGTGCAGGTTGCTCTTATTATTTTGGTGCCGGAGCCTCAGCTTATGATGCCACGAGTTTTACGTTGCGATCTTGATGGCGTGCGTCAAGTACTGCACCAATTGGAATCTGATACAAGCAGTGAGTTGTTACTTTATTATAAGCTGTTGATGCTCGTTTGTTACAATAATGTGTGCCCCATGCAGTTTTGTACATTTGTAACTAATAAAGAATTTGTTTATTTACAGAACAACAAATATTGTCTATCTTACAAGAGCGCTGTGATGGCAACAGGAATATAATACACGCATGCGTTCATATGTGCGCGCCTACATCTAATAAGGAACCCGATATTGGTAAGTACCACTCCACATAACATGGTCACAATCAACTTACTATATAGTGTAGATGTAATAACTAAGACTATTTACAATCAGTGGAAAACGCTTCGATGCCCAATTTAGCGGGTGGCACGAGTGCTGGAGGCGCTAACGCTGAGGAGTCTGTGCCCGCCATCTCCTGGCCTCCAGAGACCTTCGAGGCATCGGGAGACGAGGACAGCCTGATGGGACTCACTAATAATGGGTAAGTCATACTCCTTAATTTGTACTAAAAGCAAATCGTAACCCTTATAACCTTCAAACAGATGCGTTGGCTTTAACTGCACTCCGCCATAGTGGCATTTACGAGTGAAAAACTACTGTAATTAACGCGATCTACTCAACTTTTCAAATAGTCACTAAACATTGATTCTATAAATGACAATAGTATAGTTACTACTCTGGCTTGTAATTTCTTTTCAAAAACCTGTATTGACTTGACTAGGCTTGTCCATGACCTTTGTGTTATCTGTATTTGTTTCTTATCATCACCTTTTCCCAAGAGAGTTAAATTTCTGGTCTGAAATTCCGTCTATATTTGCAAAAAATAAAATTATTACAACTTATTGCAATAAATACATGCATGAATGAATGCTACAAAAGTCTCACACAAATGAACGGATTTTGTAACATTTGTAAGATTTGTTGTTATAGCTAGTAAGCAATAGTTATTTAGATGGAAGACCAAGAAAATTCTCAAGAGTGAATGTGATGATATGCGAAACATTTACAGTAAAATGTCTGGCGGTGGTAACAGTGGCGGCGGCGCAGTGAGCGCGGACCCAGCGGAGCGTCGCGGCAACGCGCTTGCGGCTCTTCGAGCACTCTGCGAAAGCCCGATACTGCAGCCATTCCTCATGCAGCTACTCACTGCCAAGTAAGTTTATATACTTTTTCCTACTGTACCAATAATGAAAAAGGTATTTATTACGTTACGTTTTGACTTAATAATTAACCATAACCATAACAGGGATGGAATGGGCCAAACACCATTGATGGCTGCAGTGGCTGAGCGCGCTTACCGTGCGGCACTAGTAATATTGGACGCTATCCGAGCCTGTCCCGACGCAGACGAAGCTCAACGTTCCGCTGCTATCTTCCCTCCCAATGCCAGTCCTGATCATTCTCCACTATTGGTATTATGCTGCAATGACACTTGTAGTTTCACTTGGACGGGTCAGGAGCACATCAATCAGGTTTGTGTTCATTTTTACTTCCTACTAGTTAGAGAATGTCTAGGAGGCCTACCAGCATATCCATAATACATTTTGATGATGATGATGATATATTATATAATTCTTATCATTTTTAGATTGGTTGACAATAATGGTTTATTTTTACAGGATATATTCGAGTGCAAGACTTGTGGCTTGACTGGATCGTTGTGTTGCTGCACTGAATGTGCAAAGGTAAAAAAAACAGTTTAATTCCAACAAATTATTGTATTATCAACACAATTAGATTTTATCAACAAGTTAGAAAGGATGATGGTTAACATTAAAGTATTTTTGTTATATAGGTATGTCACAAAGGCCATGACTGTAAGTTGAAGCGCACATCTCCTACGGCATACTGTGATTGCTGGGAGAAGTGCCGCTGCAAAGCACTTGTCGGCGGCAACTGGACTGCGCGCTGCGACCTACTTGCACGACTCGCTAGAGATACTTCTCTTGCTACACATTTTAATTCAAGGTACGTTTTTTACGCGTCTGAGAGCCATCTTTTATAATCTTTAAATGTTTAATTTTTCCTTATATGAAAATTTTAACATAATGTTCATTTATATTTACAGGGGTGAATCAATCCTGTTGTTCCTAGTTCAAACTGTAGGTCGTCAAGCTGTAGAACAACGTCAGTTCCGTGCCGGCGGAGGACGAGGACGTGGACCTCGGAAGCAGCCAGGCTCCGATGCTGAAGTTGATGCTCCTGATCATGACTTGGAACCGCCCAAGTTTGCTAGAAGAGCGCTGCTGCATTTATTGGGTAAATATTAAAAATTGAAGTAACTATATATTAGTGAGTATTGGTAACTGTATCACTTTTTCTAATTCATATAATCTATTGTTCAGGTGATTGGCCTGCTGTTGAGGCAGCGGTAATGTGTGGATCTAGTGGTGCTTCTGGAGAGTCAGAAAGTCGCCCTAGTAGCCCAGCGCCTTCACAATCGGGTACCACATTGCTGGATAAGTTTACTCATGCTCTTATCGTTAAATGTACTAATGAGGTCAGTGTAATCCATGTTTCTTATGAATCGACTTCTTATCAAATAAAGTATGTTAGAACTTCAATTTTATAATCTTATTACAGATGTTGGATACTCTCTTGCATACACTCATTCGAGAGCAACAAAACGACACCATCCCGGGTCGTGCTGAACGAGCTCGCGAAGTAGCGCGCCGATTTGTTCGATCTGTGGCCAGGATATTCGTTATATTTAGCGTCGAAATGGCTCCAGGCGCAGCCAAGAAGAAAGGGTAAACATAGCATTAAAATTTAGACTGCCGTCATTTGAGTTTAGCACTCAACTGCTGCTATAGTAGACATAATAGAGAGTGAAGATTGAGCCTTGCTTAGATCAGTGTTCAGATAAACCATCTCTAAATAAAAGTTGAAGCATTTATGTTTTTTTCCAGACCGTTGTCGATCACGTCATCACTTGTGCGTTGTCGCCGTGTGTTTGCGGCGCTGGTCGCCCTCGCTGTCGAAGAGCTAGTAGAAGCAGCCGATGCTCTGCTGGCCCCAGTTCGATTGGGTGTCGTACGTCCTACGGCTCCGTTCCCGCTAGCGACTACCTATGTGGACCTCGTGAATGGCAGTGAAGACTTATTCGGTGTAGAACCGCTTTCTACGGGCCATTCTAGACTCGCACACGCACGGAGGTGTGTATAATTAAACTTTAACAACTGATGATACGAAATAAGTATAATCATATTATTTATTATTGTTGGGATAAAACGTTAATGGAATCTCAATATTCTTGTTTTTGTTTTGTAGAGAGTCGACGGCAGGCGGAGGCCGTGGCACGGCGGCAGGGGGCACGTCGCTGGGCAGTTCGACGCTAGTGCCGGACCGGTCTTCCACCCCAGTGGCCACCGAGTACGCTGACGACGTAGCGGCGGAGGCGCTGGGTGCGGACGACGATGCCTCCGAGACCGACGAGCCCGGCGCCTCGGCACCCCAGCACGCCGCGCACTCTGCGCATTCCGCGCAACCGCAGGACAACCAGCACCACGACGATGCTATGCCTGACAGGTACACTGCCTTTCTTATTGGTATATAGGTAGATTTCTACTTGAAAACATTCTCATATAGAATTGGTTATATTAAATGAAAGTGGTTGGACTTACGGTCTGTGATTATGATTTTATTCAAGGGGACAAGAACAACACGTTGTAGTAGAGAATGGAACTGAGCGTGCTGAAGGCGGGGAGAGCGAAAGTGAGCTGGACTTGTTGGCTGAAGTAGAGACCGAAAGCGACTCGGACGACCAGGACAATGCAGAGTCCGCACAGCGCAGCGTGCAGACTGGAGCCACTCAGGGATCCGATGCAGGTGAGCACTCTTGTAACTATGCATGAAAAAATGTCAATAGTTCACTAATCTAGTGCAAGTACGTACAGTTGTTGTAAACTTGTACTAACCTGACGACGTCACGGGCCTCCATTTCATACAAAATTTACTTAAATAATTATTTGTGACATTAAAACTTATTGAACTCTTTCGACTAAAAAGATCCCGATTCCTGTAAGGTCCTACTTTATTTTAAATAATTTTAGAGCATACAAAAATTTAAATAAAAATAATTTGTTGTAGAATAGTACAGTAGTAATCTAGAAATAATTATTTGCAGTTTCTGCGCAAAAGAAAATTGTAATTAAAAAAATTGTGATAAACTAGGACCATACAAAATTATACAACCAAAGTTTTTGTGAAAATTGTAATTGAATTAAAACAATAAAAAATCTTTTAACTCAGCAATATTATACTGGGTAATATGTTAATACCTTGCTATGATTGTAATAGGTACTAAGACCTACAAATAACCCAGTCTATGCAAATTTATTTTATTGAGAGACCAATTGAACTCTACATATAGTAAATTCAAAAGCTTGAAGAGTTTGTAACAAAAACTGGTTGTATGAATCGGGATTAGAAGCCCATGTAATGGACGACCTCGTGCGTCGCTACAGGTATGGCGTCGTTGCTTCTATATCCAGAGGATGAAAGTGGAGATTCCACCCAACCGGAAGATGAGGACTCTGAGGCCGGGGAGACGGACGAGCAGGACGGGGAGGCCGAGCCACCGCTGCATGACGGGGAAACTCTCGAGAGGCGTACCGCGCCTCCGGCCAGGCCCAACCTGGCCCCACATTCTATGCAATGGGCAATACGGTAATTATTTTAGCTATTTATTAACATTGCGTAATATTTGATGACTTATTAGTTTTATCTGTATCATGTATGTTTGGGCTGTATATATATTTTGTTCCAACCTGTGTATGTGAAGTAGATCTCGTGAGACGGCTCGTGGCACGGGCGGTAGTACGGGCGGCGTGAGGCTGACGGGCAGTTCGTCGCTAGTGTTCATAGACCCCGCCTCACTGCGACGCTCTGCTGCCGCTGCTGCAGGGGCTCACGACCCCCATTCTACGTCCACCACAGCTTCTTGCTTGGCTAGAGCTTTTGGTATGTATTTTTTACTTTACATTATTTAAATTATAATAATGTTATATCAATTTTGACTATTAATTTAGTGTTTTTTTTTAAATTTTAATTGTTCTTTTTAATCTCAACAATCTTTTTCAGGCATTGTTATACGTCAAATTGCGGATTTGTTGTGGGAGTATGAGCGCGTGACGCTTCCTTTACCCCGTATGGTGCCCTTAGCCTACCGCGAGGCGTTGCGCCTGCAGTGCTACCTTGAACGACAACTCAAACCTACTTGGCACTGGCTTGTCACTGTTATGGATGCCACTGAAGCTCAATTACGGTAATGGCAATAATTTTTAAATTCTATAGAAATTATCACGATAACAAAAGCATAGAAAGTCTGCATGATCACTCTACACGATCTGTCTTATTGACTGATTATTACTTGTTAACAGTTTTGGTGCATCATTGACTTCTAACAATGCGAGTACTTCGACGGGTGACAGTGGTCGCGCTGCTGCTCCTGCGGCTCGACGAACCACGTCACTAACATCCCCGGCTACACGTATCATTGGGTTCTCTGAAGGACCCAGGGCAAGGGACCGAGAACCAGGTAAGAAAGCGTTTGCTTAGTACTACACTGCTAGAAGAGATTCCTGTCCTAGAGATGAGATTGTATCTTAGTTTTTTCTTGTTGTATACTAAGAAGTTATTGAAAGCGTAAAATCGTAATGCTTGTTATATGCTATCAGAATAAATTTATATATTATGTTTAAAAAAACACTTTAGAGATAACCAAGTTTTTTTGTAATTTGGCACGATACGTGCTTAGTGTTATTGTACCCCACGATGGCGAGTGGGGCCGAGTGAGTGGAGAGTGAGTGAGCGGTGGTTTGCAGGAGTGGAGGCGGGCAGCGCGCGGCGCGAGTTCCTGGCGTACTGCCTGTCGCTGCTGCGGGCGCACAGCGCCGAGCACGCCGAGCAGCTGCCCGTGCTGGACGTGGCGGCGCTCAAGCACGTGGCCTACGTGCTCGACGCGCTCGTCTACTACATGCGCGCCGCGCAGCCCCAGCCGCACCACCACCACCATCTCTGGACTCCGGTAACTGCGCTCTACCTTACTACTATACTTATACTATTCATCATTTATTTCTGACTGCGCGGTTGGCGCAACTGGCTGCTGCGCAACGCGTCGCGGGTTCGATTCCCGCATGGAACAACTCTTTGTGTGATCCACAAATTGTTGTTCAGTGTCTGAGTGTAGTGTGTATTATGAAATTGTATGTTTGTAAATGCACTCACGACACAGGAGAAAACCCTAGGGCACCTTTTTTATTACAAATAAAAACAAAGATTTCTATCTTTCTACAATAAAAAAAAAACATGCGACTGATAAATGCTTAATGGGTTCATATGATGCTTATATTATTTTTTTCACTGCAGGATGAAAATGAAAACGAAGAAGGTGATGAAGAGATGGTAGTCGGAGGTGGCGCGGCCGCGGAGTCAGACAGCGAGGGTGAGAGCGCCCGCGGTCGAACGCATGCGTTCTTCCAGCGCTCCGACTCTACGCTGTGTCTGGGCTGCCCACCACCGGATCCCTTCAATAGTTAGTAGTCTTTACTTAGTTTTAATAATTTTGTTCATCATCATCCTCCCCCTAGTCGAACGTCGTCTCCACGTCGAACAACAAGTTGCCACCTGCATCGACTCTGATAATGTTCTCGGTCCACCTAACGGGACCTATAATTTTTTTACTAACTCTAAATGTGGCTGTTCTCTATTCTATCCTATACACTCTTCTTAAACACTCAGTAAATATTTCATTCAAGTGGTTATACTTGTAAGTGTTGCTCGTGATATCGTTTTTTATTGTTCTACAAATTAAATTAGATGAAGGATGGTCAACAATTTTGTTGAAGCAATTTCACTGGGTTTATGAAGTTATTGTGCTACTTATATTTTCGTAAAACAGTGACAATGCAAGACGCACTACCGTTAGCGGATCAGCCGCAACTGCTTCAACCGAACGCTCGTCGCGAAGAATTGTTTGGAATGCCGCGGCAGCCCGTCACCGTACCCGCCTCCGGTGATGCGCCGCCCGGTGTTAACAACCCGCTAGAAGGTAACATTGCACGTAAATATTATTTTTTATGTATTTATTAGTTTAAGAGCATAGTGATTTAAGATTTTTTCATAGATATTTCCTTAAAGTTCGTCCGTCAGTCTCTCAACAATAAAATTAATGTAAATAAGAGTTGCGACAAATCTGAACGAATATTGGTTATTTTCAAAATTATGATTTATTTTGTTATGTGGTAATGTATTATATTGTATACATTTTTATACAGTGGTTCCTCGCCGACTGGGCCTTTCGACCCGCGGTACGGATCGCGGATGGTCGCCTCCGGCCAGACCCGCGTCAGCGCCACCTACCCACACCCACACTTTAACTAGAGACGAACCACAGGTTTGTTTATTTTTATATTTACTGCATAATATTTGTATCAAATTTCCTGACTTATTCTGACGATTACTAAACTTATCTAATATTTTAGGATTTATCTTGCGCAAAGGACGTACCAACTAAGATGGACATTGATACTGACGGTGAATATTTATCTGATTCTGATTCAAATGAAGCCCGACAAATACCAAGAAAGAAGCATCATAGGTAAGTGTTTTTTTCTGTTTAGGTGCAGAATAATCCTAAAGGAGTATGTTCTAAGATTTATTTACGTTTCAGACATCCACATTCAGTAAATTTGTCAGCTGGAACCAGTTCTATGCACGATTCCATGGCGCAACCCTCCGAGTTCCATACACTAGTAGACACGGCCTGCTCCATTATGGAAGCACCACATCAACAGAACATATCGGCATCCCCATCACCAGGTGTGTTATTAAAACTATTGTTATTTAGCAAGCTTTGCTAAATATTTTATTATAATTTGCTACTTAAAATATAGTTTGTTAATAAAACCGTGAACGAATATCTTGTTTTAGGTCCGAGCGGATCAAACACTGTAGTAGCAGAGTCGCGCGCTTCATCATCTCGCAGTCCCGGCAAGAGTGTTATTGTACGTGCTGTAAGTCACTCCACTTATTTGGGGGACTTTTTCTTATCAAAATTTTACCCTAAACTTCAATTGGATGTACCTTTTTATTCATTTATAAAATATTACATAAGAGCTCTTTCGCCATGTCTGGGGTTTGTGTGCAAACTGAACCAGGCACATACAATGGTTTCATTGATCCTATTGAAATCACATGTTTGTTTATGTTAATCACACAGTCAATTGATGGATATTTAATGTTCTCCATAGGGTGAGCTTTTAAGTGCGGCAGATCCTCTGGAATCTCAAGAGATTTCAGCGCATGTGACAGTAGAAACCACAGGACTGCCACCACCGCCGCTCTTACCCACCCTCAACGCACCAACACAGCCGTAAGTTTTGAAAATTACTTTATATTCATCTTATTCATGAGAAGCTAATTAAAATTAGCAATAGTCGAATTTTACCGTTTTCGAAGTAAAGTGATTTTTCTATTACATGTTATTATGGCAATGTAAATACGTTAATAACATATTATTAAACGGGTATTGATGCGAAAAGTAATTAGTAGACTGGTCTACTTACGACTACGAGTGCAACCAGTTCGGAACGTCAAGCCTTCCAATGTATTTAAATAATTAATTTTTGCCTTAAATAATATGTACCCGCTTAATAATATTTAGTTAACATGAAAAACGCGAAAGTTTAAAAGTTGTCTAAATAAGTAGCTGTAAACTCTACATGTCACCCTTTGCATTGTTTCCAGGCGCGCCTGTCCTTCTTTAGGCGCCTCTGTGTCGCACGACCTGTTGCTGGGTAGATGGCGTTTATCTTTGGATCTTTTTGGCCGTGTCTTCACTGAAGATGTAGGCTTAGAGCCTGGATCGGTGGTCGCAGAGTTGGGCGGATTCCCTCTAAAAGAGGTCAAGTTCCGTAGAGATATGGAGAAGCTTAGGAATTCTCAACAAAGAGATTTGACGTTACATAAAGTGAGTATTCTTACTATTGTATATTGTACGCCACGGTCTCATTTTAGATAAAGTAATAAGTTACCGTATAACGTTAACCGCTGTCGTGTAGTTCGTGTACTAAGGCAACTCTTTTTAACCCCTTAGATGGAACGCGACCGTGCCAAGTTGCTACAGCAAACCTTTGCGGAGTTGAATAGCGCGTTTGCTGGCCAGAACAGAAGGGCGCACAGTGCGCAGCCCCCGTTAGCCGTCAACCGTGTTAAAGTGACTTTCCGAGATGAGCCCGGAGAAGGTAGCGGCGTAGCACGCTCCTTCTACACTAGTGTCGCTGAGGTAAAACAAAATTTCAAATTCACGTATCCATAATGCCCACAGAAACTCAATATTATTAATATTGAGATATTTATTTTTAAACATTTGTGTTTTTAGGCATTGTTGGCAAATGAAAAATTGCCACCATTGGAGCCAGCCACTGGAGCCAGTACAACAAGTAGCAGTACCAACGGTACATCGAGTTCTGCCAACACGAACGCGAGTGGAGCAAGCAGTAATAGTGGGGCGCGGTAAATAATTAATTAAATAATAGATTTGAAATTAACTTCATTAATCCATGACGATTATTGTTGTTTTGGGATTTTAAAATAATAAATGTCATAGGAGCGGTGCGGGTCGTGCTCGATCGAAAGACACAGCGCGACGAACACCTGGCCGACCTGCGCCTCGCCCGCCTGCTTCTCGTGAGCCACGCAGGGTGCTTAGTGTGGATGCGAGACCCTACTCTCCACAGGTAACGAACCTATCGACACATAAACCACTATATAGATACTAGGATGTATTTTTTAGCTTATGATAATGTATTAACCGTTTAATGTACAGGCGGCGCCAGGGACAGAGGGCGCAGGTTACAGCGGTGATAGACCCGGTGGCCACAATGAACATCTTACCCTCCATCAGGCCCAACTGGGAGAACGACTTTATCCAAGGGTAATTCAGACATAAAAAACAAACTTTTTTATACTTTAAATTATAATACCTCAAATCTTTTGAGCCTCAAAACTTATATACTTATGCGGAATTTTTTTAAGGTTCACTCGCTGCACCCTACGTTTGCGGGAAAGATAACCGGCATGCTTCTAGAATTGACGCCGGCACAACTACTAGTGCTGCTGGCCAGTGAAGATGCATTACGGCAGAAAGTGCGTGAAGCAATGGATCTCATAGTAATGCATCCTTCTGAAGCTATACTAGGTGGGTTTAATTGAGATGTTTTGTAATTTTGTGTTTATTAGAGTTAGTGATTTTGTATATTAATTTGTGTGATTTTTCTTGTAGACCTAGACGTTTTTTCGCTGTCGGAGCGCGGCGGCGGAGCGGCGGGCAGCGCGGGGAGCGCGGCGGGCACGTCGAGCGCCGCCCCCGCGCCGCCGGACGACGCTGCTCCGCTTTTCTATTCGCCTGGAAAGCGCGGCTACTACTCACCGCGACAGGGTCGCGCTACTCCCGAAAGAATCAATGCCTTTAGGAATGTCGGCAGGTACGAATAAGCACTTATCATTTGTATTGATTAATTTTTGACGTAGTTACAGTGATTCTAATGTTGCTCTTTTATTTTCAGAATAATCGGGTTATGCCTCCTTCAGAATGAATTATGTCCAATGTTCCTAAATAGGCACGTCCTTAAATATATTTTGGGTAGACCAGTGCGATTCCATGACTTGGCTTTCTTCGACCCTGTTGTTTATGAAAGTCTTCGACAACTAGTTGTGGACGCTGAAACTGGCGACTCCCATTCCCTGTTTGCGGCTCTTGATCTCAACTTTAGGTAATATATACCACAGTTTACTTTTCGTCCATCACTTTTTTATTTGCATTACATCTTCCAATAATTTCCCTTTTCTATATTGTCTATAGTTTGGAAATGTGCGAAGAGGAAGGCGGTGGATGTGTGGAGTTAATACCAGGCGGGCGCGACATCGAAGTAACCGCGCTCAACGTATACGACTACGTACGCAAATATGCTCAACATCGAATGCTGCTCTCACAAGAGAAAGCACTTGAGGTATTATTACTTATTAATTTAACAATAAATTTGTGATACATATTTGTAAATTGATTACATAGTCAAGTACTAACCGATGAAATGAATGATCTTTAGGCTATGCGGGTTGGCGTGCTCGATGTGCTGCCAGAGTCAGCACTCGAAGGATTGACTGCTGAAGACTTGCGTTTGCTACTGAATGGCGTGGGAGACATCAACGTTGCGGCACTGGTGTCTTACACTAGCTTTAACGATGAGAGCGGCGAGCCTTCAGAACGTTTAGCACGCTTCAAGCGCTGGTTGTGGGCGATCGTAGATAAGATGACGCATTTGGAACGACAAGACTTAGTAAGTCAATTTATTTTTATAATGTTAAATTAACAGTAGTTATTTAAAGTTGTTTTGCTGAATGTTTTTTATTCCAAAAACAGCAAAATAATTAAATCTATTTTATACTAAGCACATTAATTTATTTTGTAGGTGTACTTCTGGACCGGGTCCCCCGCACTGCCTGCCTCCGAGGAAGGTTTCCAGCCGATGCCCTCGGTGACCATTCGGCCAGCGGACGACGCGCACCTGCCCACCGCCAACACGTGTATCTCGCGATTGTACATACCGCTGTATTCTTCGCGGCACGTGCTCAAGCATAAATTACTGCTTGCCATCAAAACCAAGAACTTTGGCTTTGTCTAGACACTCGCCACTATTTGTTATATATTATATTCTTAAGTTTAAGCCCAGTCATGTAAGACTGCCGCTATATTCTGTCACTATGTAAAGGTTTAGAAAAATTACGTGTCATTATAGAGTATCTTGTAGAGCTTACTTTATTTAAAACTATTATACTAGTATTAACATACTGGTCTATATTTATTTGATCTTTTTTATTTGACGAATCTATTAATTCTATATGACTGGGTGTATTTGACTGAATAGTAATATTCAATATGCAGTAATTTTTGTTAGAAAAAGGCCCAAGGACGGTCCGCACAAGTACATAGTAATTGTTAAACTTTTAAGCTCATAGACCATAAGTATTTAACTGTTATTTAAAAGAACCTAAAGAAATCGCCATTCTGTATACATGCCTGTATTAGTTGGAAGTTGATTCAAATCATAGATCAACCTTTTTTACTGATTTTCTAAATTCTTTTATTTATCTTTTTTCTGGAATTATTTTGATAAAGGCCTAACTTGAATGCATTTGATTGCTCTTCTCAATTATTGATTGTACTTTATCGCGCGATGGCAAGCAAAGGCAGCGTCAGAAAATATTCATGAATATTTCTATTGTTTATATAGCTTTGTTATATAGTAAAAATTATATAAGATAATACAGTATGATGGGTATACTGCTATAATACTTTGGGTAAGCTTGGGTAGAGAGGCGTCGGATCCGAGCAATGGTGGTATTGTGATATCAGAGGAAGTATTTTGCGCCTCATTCTCTAAATTTAAGATTATACTTAGATTTCCTTTGATTAGTTGTATTAATACAGTTCATAATAAACAATCTCAAAACGCTTACATTGTTGTAATTATTTATTTATGGTAGTCTTTTTGGCCCTATCTCCAGTGTAAAGGCAAGTCGAATGACCCGGCATTGTTGGTTTTTTTTTAATTTATTTGAAATGAATCCTAACTAGTTCGATTAATCGCCCCCCGAAACTAAAACGTATACTAAAGTTCAGTTTTTTTCGTTCAAGAATAACTTGTTCAGTAAAAAAAAAATAGAGTTAGGGGTTATTCCCACATTGTCCTTCTGTATAGGGACTCTGACAAAAGTAAATGTTACAGGTACATGAATTGCATCATTGCATTTTACAGTGCGTGATGATCACCAGCGTCGATTACACAAATGTGACTTGTCAGATAGCCCGTCAAATACCTATTATATTATTTATTACTTTATAATTATTAGTGGCTAGAGCTATGTTAGTATTAGGTTGAACAACTCTTATAGAAAAATCGTCGGGAGATTAAAAAAAAATTTGTAGGGTTAATGTTGTCTGATTGAATACTAATGGGTGAATATAAAACGTTTATTAAAATATTCTATAAAACTACATATAAAACAGTCGTACAATTTTATTGTAATTGTACAGAATGAACACACTCATTTATGTAATGCATAAAAATATGTTACAATTTACGAGATGGCTTAAATACTAGACAACAAAAATTGAAATTGATGTTTTAACTAAAATTTTACACACTTTTATGCCTCAAAATTTCTTAAATATTTCTGAGGGCAGTTATAATCACTATTGTAATTTCGAAACCATGTTCAATTCAGCAGACATTTTCTTGTAAACTCCATATAACACTGTTATGTGACATACATGTAATAATGCACTAGTTAAGTAAGTACTTGGATATGCGTTCCAGCACATTTCAATAAGAGCAAGAATTAGAAACCTAAAAATAACAGAGTAATTATTAGACCACAGCAAGTAGGGCAAACTGTGGAAATACCATGAATAAAACTGATAGTGAAGGCTTCTTGAACACATCACTCCAATGAAGTTAACAATAAACATTGGCAGAATAAACAATTGAGATAAAATATCGAAATTGATGCTGTAGTGTGCATCCTTGTCTTGGTCTACAGGTTTTTTAACTGCTTTCTTCGCACCCTTTTGTGAAGACTTCTGTAACATTACTTCAAATGAATTAATGAAGTCTTCCTGTTCTTTGGTCAAGTTTTCTGTTTCCTCATTCTTTTTATTTAATTTTTTCTTCATTTCTTTCTTTAGTTTACTTTGTCTCTTATTTTCTAAATTTTTTGCATCAATTTGAGGTTGAACCTGTGTCTGTACATACTTGAGACGACAATAACTTTTAAAATATTTAACACACATTGGGATAAATATTATAAGCAAAATAACATGTATAGCCAACAATGTCAAGTGAAAGCATTTGTTTTCAAATATTTCTACATCCAAAAATCTGTAATTGACAGTCCAAGTGTGATTGAATACACGGCCCAAATCAAAGCTTCCTTTAAGATATGCTATAGGGCTATGCAGCAAGAAAGGCAAACCTAAAACTACTTGAATCATACCACATATGAACAGTTGTATAACAGTTCCTTTAAAGCCCAAATTAGTCAAATAAAAGAAAAATAATACTGGTGCATAAAGTAGTATGTTCATTTTTACAGATACTCCTAAACTGTAGAATATGCTGCCAAGGTACCATTTGGAATCCACAAAGAAATTTAAAGCAGCATACAAGAAAAGTACAGCAATCGGGTCATTAAACAATCGTAACACATAAATGGAGTGTATTCTATATGAGGTTAATATAGTAATGACTAGAACATAAGGTGGTACTTTCTTTGTTTTTATATAAATTCTAAGAACAAGGCATAACTGCAGCAGATATATACCAATGAATATGTACTGTGCTAGTTTAATGTTTTCACCTTGGCCAGTTACAAAATACAGAAATGAATAGATATACACAAATCCTGCTGGGTAGACTAGAGGTCCCGTGTCTCCTCGAAGCTGGCTGTAGTCCAAGGTTCCATTTAGAAATCCCTCACATTCTTGCATATAAGCTTTCCAGTCGATTTCAGTATACGGCACTCGTTCCACAACTAGTATGTTAATAATTAGTTCGGCAGCGATGAGAGCTAGCGCAGCAAATGTTAACTGTGCAGGGTTTACAATTAGCCCTTTCATATAAGACCATGTAAACATTTTCATGATTTCATGGTAAAAATCTTGAAACTTGCTCTTACCGCCCATGGCGAAGGTATTGTCTTATTAGCTTCACTTATAAAATTATCATAGATATTACGTTTAGGTAAGAAAAGCTCGACAGACTTCGTTTATTATTTCTATTTTAAGATTAGGTCACAGCACCGGTCTGCAGTACCCCGGCGACGAAAGCAGATAGCAAAGAGTATGTAACCACAGATAGCAGCAGGCAGTCTGACAACAGTTTGACATTGACACTCTTAATACAAGACGTTGAAAATATTATGACAACTGGCAAACCTGACCTGACAGCTGACAGCAAACCAATTTTATAGTGAAGCCCAAAAAATACCTTAGATAAATATAAATCTAAACTAAATCTATGGTTTAGTTGTTTAGTAGTATAGTTTCATTTTATTGATTAGTTAAATTAAACTATACTTTTTGTTTAGATTTTTGTATAATTACACTACATACATCTACATTATTACGATACAAGAGGAAAACCTGTATTTTTGTGTGCATGTTTGTAACGAATAAACTCAAAAAGAATGTGCATTTGGAAAATGCTCTCACCATTAAAAAGCTACCCTAAGTTATATCGGCTATAAATCTTATGTCCACCTGAACGAAGCCAGGGCGGGTCGCTAATATTTTAATAATTTCATCATCATAATCATCATCAGGGCTTTCCGCACACGGTAGAAGGTTTGAGCATTAATCACCAATCTTCCTCACAGTGGATGTGTGAAGGGAATTATCCTTCTCACACCCTATCAGCCACAGTAGGCTACATTCCGGCCGTTGGGGATCGATTGACGATCTCCAGCCACCGCAAGCGCCATTCTGCGGTCATCGGGCAAGAGTAGTTCGCTACCCGACAAAGAGCCAACAAGCCGCCACAGATGGGGCATAACAAGGCCGACGTTTAACCGGGCTTGCGGGTCAAGCACTATAAGGTACCGCGTCTTCAGAATGGAGCAGGAAAACTGGGGAAGGGGGAGTCAGTAACTGTCTCTAAACTGTAAAAAACGGAACCTCGTCTAATATCTACTGGAGGCGTCATATCCTTAACAACTATTGCCGAGCCACAGGGTGTTTGCTGTAGCCCAATGTCAAACTGTCGCACGTGTTATGTCACCAATTTACGCACTCTAATCGCGTTCTCTTGAAAATTAATTCTATTGATCTGTTTGCAGATGAATGGAAGGTTTATTGGAATGCATGATGTAGGTACCTATTACTCGAGAGGAACTTACCTATGTATGTCTTTTTGTCAGTGGAATATCATCAAATGACTTCTCCCGCCCAGGGTAAGGCAAGAGAGAGTTTCATACTCTTTTTGACTGAAAACCTCCGTTCCTTTTCCTGCTCTGGGCCAAGGCCGCGGTGTCTCATTGCGCTTGCCCCGCAATCTCGATGAGCATCAGCCCTATAGGACCCTGTCTGTGGTGGTCTATTGGTTCTTTGAGGCGAGCGCAGAAGGCAACGCGCCTTGCGCTAGGGAACTTGTGTATGTTGTGGATGTGATTGGGTCAAATCTGTAATAAAATTAATAAATAAACAAATAGGCACAGCCACTGTATTATGAGTTGTAGTATTCCGGTTCACCCGAGAATACTATTTAGGTAACGTATACCCGATTACTTTTGCTTCACAGTGGGGCTCTTTACCAAAACCGACGACGTCACTAGTTTTTTTATTCTACTAGCTGCCAGCCCCCGCTTCGCACGGGTCTTAATGTCTTAACAAATAAAAAGGTCGGTTTTTCCCAATCCCCTCTATTTTACTAATATTTTCTCTGATAAGAACCTTCTCCTGAAAAAGAATTACCTAAATTGGTCCAGTTGTTGTTATGCGCTTACCAACACATTTTGCGATCCATTTTTATATTTATAGATAGGAGGCCAATGAGCAGGTGGATCACCTGATGGTAAGTGATCGGTGCCGCCTATGGACACCGGTAACACCAGAGGAGTCACAGCCGCGTTGTCGGCCTTTTAGTGTGTTTTAATGTAGGCAGGTTTAACAACTTACAAGAAATTATAAGTAGGTAACTAATATTGCATATAGGCCATAATTATATTAATAAACAACGGGGCACCAACAATAATATACGTATCGTAGAGTCCTTATTTATCTGCCTGTTTATTTTAGAAAGTTCGCAGAGCGGTCAGCATGTTACATGAGTACCTACTCATATAGTGCTCAAGGAAGTAAATGAATCAACTCTTAGTCAATCAGTATACTTTGGTAGGAAATAAGAATCAGGAAATAGCGGACCTACTTGTATCTTGATACTTTTTTATTGAAGGACGATGTAACGTAACCTTACGAGATACTATAGTCTCTAACTTTGTATCTGCTTACAATGGATTTATATTCCTAACGTCCTTTGTGCAATGTTATATTTTTTATTAGGTTCCCCTTGACTTACTTTAAGGCACGCACGTTTATTATTTTACGAGACCAGCTGGTAGGTATACCGGTAACTATCTAATTACTTGAAAAGTTAAAATTTTTAAAGGATTTAAATTTAAATTGCCTACTATTCTGAAGGGCCTTGACCGGCGATATCAATTGTAGGATTCACTGTTTGGATTTTATGATGTTTACAAAATCCTTATATTTGATTGTCTACGTTATCTGAAATAAATGAGTAAGCGTATTAACGCAGGTATATTTCAGATGAGCAAGGCCAGTCATTTTGTATTAAATGAAGAACAAACTGTAAAACACATTGAAATTGTTGTGCGCTTTTATAATTTAGGATCGTCTTTAATGTTGGTTTAAGTGTAACTACTGATGTATTAGATAAATATGAAGTTTATAAATACTTTAATTATCATTTTTACACTTTCAATAGGGTTAAAAGTGTTGGGGGCAGATGTGCAGCGTAAGTAACCACTTTAAAGACTTCAAAATTAAAAAGATGTGCCTCTTTGCTGGAAAATGACAATTTTATTAACTTTTATTTTAGCTTGAACTCCATCCAATTCTCAAAATACCAATTCCTACAAAATATTTACATTGCTAATTGTTTATATAGAAACGTAATAACAATATTACTGTATTTAGCTTAATACTTGCGATCCCAATGTAGGCTTAGTACCTAAGTCTCAAAAAGGTTGTTAATTGTGTAGGTAGGTACCTAATTTTGTGTAATGCATAAATCAGAGAACCATTAATATCGAATTAAGATCACGTTTATTGTAGCAAAGAACTGTATTGAAGAACAAATACTAGATGTGCTAACAACATGGCGGAATGGTACAAATTCATCTTCAGTGCCTTCGATACAAGCGATAAGAATAAACTCTTTAGAGGGTTTATATGAAGGCTTCGGCATTAAGTAAGTAATACTTCGTTTTTAGTTGATGGTAGGTATAATTTAGACCTTTTTACATGTGCGTTGCCTTGTTAAATCTATCGTCCATTCGTGCTGATAGGTGGCTAATTCTCCTAACATTAATATACTGGCGACCCGCCCCGGCTTATATACTAAATTTCTGCACTATTTTATGGTGATGATATTACACTTTTAGATACCACATTAAAAGGAGAGGGTAAAATAACTAAACGGCCAATACAAAATTATTATATTGAAGCATTGGCGTTGCAAAGGTGCACGAGTACCTATATACTGATTTCCATTATCATTCTTTTGTTATTTAATAAATAATAATGTAAACTTTTTTAAATTAGAGATAAGCGAGAGTGTTATAAACGTAAGAGTGTTGTTATGTCAGTCAACCATAAAAGATAGACATATACTGTTAGGTATAGAATATGTTGCAGATTATTTTATGTAAAACATGATTTCTATATAACTTTAACAATCAAGGCTACACAGGCGATGGAAGCTAAAAAATTTGTAACATCCGCCGTTTTCCCAACATTTCCCTTCACTGCTCTGCTCCTATAAATAGAGCGTGATGAAATGTATCCTATAACCTGCCCAAGAATATAAGTTTATACTATAAAGAACATACAGACAGACAGACAACATTTTTACTGATTAAGTACATTTTTAACATCCGTATCGATTACTAATCACCCCCTGATAGTTATTTTGGAACTAGTTTTGGAAATATATTTAATAAACAGAATTGACCTCTCTACAGATTTGTTATAAGTATAAGTAGATATAGATTAATCATATCAAAGATTAGATTTTGGAAAAAATCAGATTTTATTATTAATATTTACTTACTTTATTTTACAGAATCAGATATAGTACAGGTGATATGAAATTGAGTGGAGTGGACAACTTCTTCGTGGAACAACTGTCTGTATCTGCAAAAGATTTGGAAGCATCAGCGACTGTTCGTTTTCCTGTGTTGACGTTAACATCGGGTAAGTATTTCGGGAAATAATCTAACGAAGTTTAGCGTAAAGCGTACCAGGTCTACTTGACAAGCGAAATTAACTAAGTACCGTTGCCCTGCCAGAGGACAGGAGTTGTAACGGGGTTTTCGTTAATACGACTACGAGACAGCTTCTCACATTTTCATCATCACAAAAAATTCATGCTAGTTTTAAGCTACACTGGGACTCCAGTTGGCTGCTCAAAGTAGGTAACCACGTCGAGCTGGCTGCCCATGTGAACGAACCCCGGTGTGCCTTGAAACTAGTACTTAGAACTTTCACCTGTAGTTCACGCGAGTAAGGAATAATATGTTTGAGCAAATGTTTACTTACTAAGACGAGCAAAAATTGATCAATATTCCAGATAACTATAATCTTAAAGGACAAGCGTACGTGTTTTACCCTCTGAAAGGATCAGGATTAATGACGTAAGTCGATATTCCGCAGATGTGTCCAACAAATTGATTGATTTGTCAAACTTATTAAGATTTTTATGTTCCAGAGCAATTTTCCAAAATAGCACAGTATCACTCGGGACAAAATTAGTTTCGAATGACACGGTGTTTCAAATTGAAGATGTCAACTTAACCTTCAGCGTTGAAAATATTCAGGTAAGTCGAGTTGTTAGTACGTCGTGTAGATCAAAAAGAAACTAATGGAGGTACTAATTCAATTTGTAAGTCTACTACATAAAGAATTACGCTTAATAGTCGTGGTGGCCCGGAGGTTAAGGCGCCTGCTCCTCATACATTAAGGTGCTAGTTCGAAACCTGGCAAGAACCAGTGAGACTTTTTCCGAATATGTAACTTTCTATGATTACTTAGAGCCCTGACTGACATACGGTGAAGGAAAACATTATGAGGAAAACTAGACTGAAATTTCAAATATTATACGTTTGAAATCCGCCTTCAGCAAGCGTGGTGATTAATGCCTTTGCTCAGCAGTGGCAATAAAATTTTGGAATGGAATCGGCGACACTTGGCTCAATAGATGATCGTTTGGCCATTTCATAAACCGTGCAATTGTTTCTAACTTTAACATTTCTTAAGCGCAGTTTATGCTGTTACACCCTCATTTACCTATAATACTCCTCGATTAATAAGCTAGCCAACACAAGAGGATTTGTTCTATTCAAACCAGGAATTCCGGAGATTAGAACTTTCAAATAAATAACGCATAAAATTTTCAGCTTTATTAAAAAAAAATGTTTATTTCGGACCTTATTTTAAGCAGAGTAAAGCTTGTAGAAGACTCCTCGTATAAAATATAAGTATAGATTATGTACTACCTAATTATTTTTACTTTATTTACCTGTTATGTTTCATGTAATGACTTGCGTGACTTGGTTAGATAGCTCGACTGGTTTCAATACTTACATAGTCATTTGCCACATCGTGAAGGATGAATGTGATGCATATGCCCCTGACGTGGTCAAAGTTAAAAATGATTTATTCCAACAACCATAAATAGGTACTTTTGAAACATAATATTCTACAATAATAGCCTCTCATTCTGTTCGTCAGTGAAGCTTAGTGCTCGTTCCAAATTGTATATTCGAATGGAGAAGATCGAGGAAGAAACACCATCGTTACTCTTAAAAAAAATGTTTTAGTTATACGTTTAACTAATACCTTATTGTACCCATATTATGTGAGAACAATGTAGAGACAATTAAAAAAAAGAATGGGCTCTATTCCTCTTCATTCAAATTTAAATCCTTTATCGTCTCGAACATGGGGCTCACATATGCATACTAACAATCTCCAACTCCATGTTTAAAAAATAAAATAACAATTTTTGATGGGGCTTGAAAGTAGTCGAGGTTTGTCGCTAAATAAACGAAAAGGATAATTAGAGTATAGATGAAGTGGTTGAGTGTACTACGATTAATTTAATATGTCACACGGAACTTATCAATAATTTTCTTTTACTTTTGTCACAGATTGATTTGGAAAAGAGTTCGTGGCCGATTAATGCGGTGTTAAACAGTAACGCAATGCAGATACTAGAGAGGTATCGCAGCGAAATGGTTGCTGCAGCTAAAGATATGTTGAAGCAGACAATCAACGATCACCTAGCAACGACAATATCTCCACAACTATTGAACGACGCTGCAGATAACTTTTGTAATCTCACGTTGTCTGCTATACCTATAAGCATAATATGACATTAAAACTATGTATGTTATGTAATATATCTAATAATTTTAAATTTCTAGTCTAGATAGCTTAAATAAATAAATGAATTGTTCAATATAGAAATCCCTTTCATTTCTTAATCGATTCGCTTAATTCGATCTACTCTTACAGATACTACTGCAATAGGTCCATAAACATCTTGATTACGTTACCTTTTATGCAGCAATATTTTAAAATATGTATCGAATTTCTTCGTTAAATTCACTCATCTTGACAGCACGAAAAACAAATGAAAATCACACATTTTCCCGATTTTAATTTATAATTCCTAATACATTAGAACATAAAGAAAATGCCTTTCAATGCATGGATTGAAGACGATAGGCAACGTCTATGGCTAATATGAACCTATTTTTTGTTCTATTCATAATGCGAAGAGTCAAGATGGCTATTTGGTAACTCAAGCTGATTCACTTTCCAACTCAAATGACCAAAATTGGTATGTTGCCGTAATTCGTCCTACCGAGTCAGAGAGTGCTAAACTCGGTGATTCGTGCTGTGTAGTCAAATACATTTGTCATTTTAAATCAGACATTTATTATTATATATTTTTTTAACAAACAATCTTTTAAGGTAGTTTTATAAGAATGACTCAACAAACAAGAAAGGCGTAGTTTTTTGTCGTAGTTGGATTTTAGTATTTATACGATTTATTATTTGTACTATTTTGGTGTTAAAGTGTATTTGTGGCGCATAATATTAACAAAAGTGAAATTTATGAATTAATGTAGTAGTAGAAGATATTTTTTTTTTTTTATGTAATAAGTCGGCAAACGAGCAGACGGATTACCTGATGGTAAGCAATCAACGCCGCCCATGGACACCCGCAACGGAGGAGTTACGAGTGCGTTGCCGACCTTTTAGGTATTAGGGATTTGGAAATTTAGGGATTGGGGAAGGGGAAGGATTGGGCTTTAGCATATGAATGAAAAGATGTGAATTATATGCAATCAGCCCATGAATACAGGTAAAGTCATAAGCAAATGCTAGTAATATATATTTATATTCAAAATATGTTTTATTCGCTAGAGGACGCCACTTTCGATTTTGTGGTACCCCATGTAGCCTATAACCAGCTAACAATTAGGACGTTTCTAATGATATGTCATTTGACGAATTCTGATAAGTACTTTAGAAGTTACCTACGAGGGAACAGATGAACATACAAATACATATACATACATAGTCTGTCAAAATTATAAGCCTTTTGCTTTGCCGTAGTCGGGTTACAAGCTACATTCAATTTTTATATAATAGTTTTTGAATTCGGTATCCATTGTACGACTTCTAGTGTTGTACAACGTATGTATCTAGTTGTAAGTATACCACGAGACATAAAGAACTTTTTCATGCACTGTCCAAAAATATTAATCATATTTCATGAGGCGCCAAATTTCTAATTATACAGAAATTTTAAACTCCAATTTTACACGTAACTACTTCTCTGTTCCAGAAATCACATAGGTACAATAACTCGTGGAATTTGTTTAACTATTTTATCGTTCGTCGTCGTTGTTTTCGTAGCACGTAGCACGTAGTTTTTAGCGCGTAGTTCATATTGTATAGTAGGTGCGTAGCGCGTAGTTCGTTGCGCGTAGTTTGGGCCGTGCATCTCGTAGCGCATACCTCGTAGCGCGTAGTTTGGGCCGTGTATCTCGTAGCGCGTATTTCGTACCGTTCGCACTTATTCGTAGCACGTAGTTTATAGCGAGTAGTTCGTAGCGCTCATACAAATACACCTTAGTCAATATGCGAGGTCTGGCCGTTTAATTACTAAACTATTATATTATGATACCATACCATACCATACCATACCATGATACCAAAGTAACCATACATCGACGTGTTTTCTCCAAATTATGACGTTGATAATTGAATTGATTTTTAAGGTTAAATATTTTTTTAAGTTCAAGCCCATATATATGATCAGCTACAACCGCGCGGTTTTACTCGCTGCTCGGCTCCATTTGATTGTAGCGTGATCTTTTATAGCCTATAGCACTCGGGATCATTGTAGCTATCAATAAGTGAAAGAATTTTGGGAATCCGACCAGTGGTTCCAAAGATTACCCCCTACATACAGACATACAGACTTACAAATTTTACCTCTTTATAATATTAGTATAGATGGATAGCAAAACGGTCAGATTTCATTTGAGTAATCGAATTGTTGCTTAAGCTACAGATCTCGTCAAAATATCAAATGCACAAGCTGCTATCAGTGGTTCACCTCGCAGTGCCTGGGTCGAAAGTTTGTTTTATTCCAGACCAAATTTAATTCAGATTCGTTCAGTAGTTTTAGCATAAAAGAACGACCGAAGTTAAAAGTAAGAAGTCATTTATTTGCCAGAATGTAGGTTTACAGGGTGTGTTCTTAAATTTAAAGTCCATTTACATTCTAGTATTAAATACGATATGTTAACAATTGTACGAACGTAACAAACTCGTATTTATCCATTCCTACTTACGAACTTTTGCATTAATATATATTTTATTGAATGGGAATAATATTTTTTTACCTCTCGTTAATTATCATTTCATTTTAGTCAGTCATCAGTTATTATTAATTGAAAGAAAAGTAGTCAGTAAGATTCTGACACTTAGTCTAGGGCGGGAGAAGTAAAGTGACAATTTTTCCCCTTAAAAAACCTATTAAAAGTCGTGTTACCAGATTACCGACCTCTCGCTCGAGACCTTGTACCATAAAATCGTATACAGAACTAAACTGTAAGACGACATCAGTATAAAATGTGTAAGTAGGTCATTTTCAGCCGGATAATGCCGGATCAGACGCCCATGTGAACAATTAACAAAGGCCTTTTTGTATCATCGAAATAAATATTCATAGCATTTATAGATATTCACATCTCTTGATCAGACTGCTGAGCAAAGCAGAGCCTTCTTCTCATACGTAGAAGGTTTAAGCATTAATCACCACGCTTGCTGCAGGCGGATTGGCGATTTTAAACTTATAATTAGAAATGTTAAGTCCAGGTTTCCTCACGATGTTTTTCTTCACACACTGATATACATGACATGTGAAGAGATTTATTATCAGCATTATATCCGCGCGAATCCCGATTGGGTCGCTAGCATTCAAATGAAAATTAACGCCAAAAATTATAAATTTTTTTATGTTCATTATTAACATGGCTTGATTTAATGGTCCAACCGTGACTGGAAACTTAAGTATGTACTTATTAATTATAGAGACACGATTACGTACCTATATTTATTAGGAACAAATTAAAACTTAATTAATACATACATTTTCTATAATAGTTATTTATTTTGCATATTAAATAATAAGATATATGTGAGATTATGTAGGAAACACTTTTTAAGAAAAAAAACTATATAAATGTCCCTACTATGATTGTCTCATGCTTCTGGTTGCAATATGACTACATTAGGTATTATCATTAGGTAATTGGGTAGTTTCCTAGGTCAAAAATAATAAGTATAAAATAATAGGTATAATAACAACGTATAAAATATTGAAAAATAACTATACTTTGACTGATATCAAAGAGATACTGAGACCAAACAGCCAGTCAAAACACTGGGTTTCTCGGGGGGTGCTTCGGTGTCAAAGAGGACAATGGTGGGTTTGTCAGCCAATAAAGTCATGGCGATTGCTTTTTGGGATGCACGCGGTGTTGTCCACTTTGACTACCTTCAATAAGGAAAAACAATCAATGGCGAATATTACAGGAGTTTATTGGGTCTATTCGATGAGGCATTGAAAGAAAAGCGACCGCACTTAGCCAAGAAAAAAAGTTTGGGGGTAGCCGTGCTAAGTGTGAGAGAGCCATGCTTCGGCACGAATGGGTCGGCTCGACCGGAGTGATACCACGGCTTCACAGAAAACCGGCGTGAAACAACCACAGTCCGTCCATCATACATATTACATATTATATATTATACATACATCCCTAATCCCTGAAAGGTCAGCAACGCACTCGTAACTCCTCCGTTGCGGGTGTCCATGGCCGGCGCTGATTGCTTATCAGGTAATACGTATGCTCGTTTGCCGACCTATTACATAAAAAAAATCCATTTCCATCAGGACGGGTGCATACATGTGCAGTTTCTATGGCAAAAATCCATGAATGGCTACGAATTGCTCCCTCATCCGGCCTATTCTCCTGATCTCCGTGTGACTACTTCTTGTTCCCAAACCTGAAGAAATGGCTTGGTGGAAAGAGATTTGCCTCCAACGGCGAAGTCACATCACAAACAAATGTCTATTTTAAAGACCTCGATAAATCATATTTTTTTAATGTAGGGAGCGTCATATTTGTAATTGCAAATAAGCTCTTTTAAAAAAAATTGGAGAGACTGTGGGCTAAGTGTATAGAGCTCAAAGGAAACAACGTTGAAAAATAAAATAACTTTTTATCTAAAAATTTATGTTTCATTAAAAAGTCACGGACTTATTGACCCGCCCTCGTATAAAATAGTAGACCATTAAATGCTAGTTTTGCTGAAATTAAAAAGTATATATCAACAAATACTACTTCACGTGGGATACTTTACATCTGGCACACAGAATTCAAAATTGTTTTATAAGTCCAGGTTTTTCAAAATTTCATTCACCGCATGACAGTGGTCTCTAAAACTAAGTGCGCACCAACGAGTATAACTCGGAAAAACTCACATTCACTCATTGGTAATTGCCAAGCGCGGACTCTTAACCTCCTGAAAAAGAAGTGGGGTTTCATGACATTTTTCCTTTTTTTCGATTTTACAGTGTAACCAAATGTAATCTTTTAAAAAAACATTTGTAATATTTTTTGTTTGCAAAAAATAAAGACTAATAGATCTTATCTTTTTTTATTTTTATCGACTTCAAAAAAGGATGAGGTACTATGTTCGGCTGATTGTTTTTTTTTTGTATGTTCACCGATTAGGTACGCCGCCATTTATGAACCGATTTCCAAAATTCTTGTTTTGTTTGAAAGGTTATACTCCCGAGAGGGTCTGATTTTCATGAGGTCAGGATCTGATGATGGAATCCTAAGGAAACCGAGGGGAACTTTCAAAAATTGTAGGGGCGAGTAGTGCTTTTGCATGTTTTTTCAGTAGGCTTTTTACAAAGCTACAATTTGCCGATGCTCGAACTCGACCTGATGATGGAGCCAGAAGACAGTCGAGGAATCTCCTTGATTATTTGGAGTAGTTACCTTGTTTTTGGGCTTGAATGATTCGAATTGGTGAGCACTTTGCACCAAGATTGATCGTGACTGTCATTAGGGGTCTGATGATGAGAACGAAAGACAGCTAAGGGAACTGAAGAACGGTTTACAGTAACTACCTCGTGTTTGAACTTAATTCATTTATATCGATAAAAACTTCGCACCTTTATGGGTTACAATGAAGTTATGGAGTAAATCTGATGATGGAGGAGAAAGACTGTAGTGGAATCTTTTTAACTATTTGGAGCGATTACGTTGTGCTTGGACTTAATTCATCTATATTGATGAGAACTTTGCACCTATATGGATTATGTAAGTATATTAAAGGTATGCAGTATACATGATGATGGAGACCATTGTCAGTCGAGGGAATTCCTCAACGATTTACAGCTAAACTAACTGACTAACTCAGGACTACTACTATCACCGTTATTTTCGGTCTCAAGTAGCCGTCGTCTTCTCGTTCGAAAACCATTATACTTGCTTGCTTTGCCTACAACACTTAAAATGGTGAAATAAATATTTTTTTACCAAAGTATTAAGACTTCAAAAAGTAAACTAAAAAGCAAAAACTATATTTTGTTTGTAGAAATTAATAAATGTTTTCATTTAGTTAAATAGATAATAATATTATTAACCATTTTATAATCTTGAAGTCGGTGCCAAGTGAATCATTAAAGTCCGATTTGGTATGACCGACAACAACAGTTTTAGAAAAATATTTTGATCGGTAACTTCTATTCATCAAACTGATAATAGATATTCTTGTTGTGTGTTATAGGTAATCTAACCCTATTTTTGTTTTACTTGGCACCGAATTCAAGATTATAAAATGGTAGCTAAAATGTTGCTGAGTGCTATAAGCTATATAACAACACCATAAGATCAATAGGAGTGATTCAATAAAATAATAGAGTTTTTCAATCAGTTAAAAGTTTATTTGTAAATAAATCATTCAGGTTTATTTATCCTAGAAAGGTAAGGATGGCTTGGCGGAACCCAGCAGGTAATTGTTTATCTCGTTGACAGTGAGCTGCTTGAGCTCATGACTGATGGCCTTCAGGACGGCGCGTAGGACGTCGTCCACGATCAACGAATACTTGCTTAAATTGTTCACAAACTCCAGTGCAATGGTTCTGAACTTTTCAGCATGTTGATCCATATTCAATACAACCTGGGAAATTTAAACCGTTTTAGTATTTTTGTATTATTACTAAAGGAAAAGGTATATATAGTTCGCGTTCAATGTAATTCTTAGTAAAAAAAACTTCATAATTTTTGAATCGACACGAACCCTGGTAAGGCAGCGTTAGTAAATTCGATACGTTTCTTCGTCTAACTAAAGTTGTATGAGAATTTTATATTTTAAATATTCTGTACATATTATTCGCGATTTAAGACATCCTCATACCATCATTTTATTTCGTTTTTTTTACCTTTTGTCGAAACTATGTAGTATAATATTGTTTGAATAATATTAATAGAATGTCATGATTTTAGACACTTACATCAAGTTTGGATAAATCTATAACTGCATCGGCGCTGTTTACTTCGTACACTTTAGTGTTGCCATGTTGAGCTACTGTTGGTCCAGCTGCGACTACGGCGAGTATTTTCTCCAGGTTCGCACTGTTCACAGAACAGAAAATTAATACTGTTGTAACGTAAGCCCTCGTGAAATGAACTTAGGTAATTTGCACAAAAACTATGGATATGGATAAGATTATATACCTTAAAAATTCATTAAAATGACGATTTTTATAAAAAATATAATTTTAAATGACGGCGACTGTAGACATGCAAAAATAATACTTATGTGGTATGGTAAATAACTTACGTCAGTTGACCTTTAACATTCAAGGGTTTGCCTTCTAAAACTCCGTTGACTGTAAAGTGAGCTGTAACAGAGATTCGTAATCTAAACTTAAGCTGAAGAGGAAGAAAGCGTTGATTATTGGTATCTATGGTTGAAATAATAGGTTGTTTAAAAATGTAATGTTTAGCTATCGGTCCGGTATTTGTAATAAATGAAGAACCGCTCGTTCGATTTTAGGCTCACTTTACACAAACCATCCACTAAAGAGTCCGAACAAAACAAATGGTTTGGATAAGTGATCTGCAAAGTCAGTTATAAAATTACAACGATATGCGGCATCGACTTTATATGCATTATTCATACTAATACGTCAATGTAAAATACTTACCGGCAGCAGAAATGTGAGGAAGAGATGCATTGAAATCAACCCTAGGAGGATTCATGCGTACTTCTAGACCAGACACGGATATGTCTTTAATTCCTTGCACTACAATGTTAGTCAGTTGCAGTTTGCCACTGAAATGAAAAAGGATGTCAGTCAAACCTGATGACGGCTTCTCCAATATCACGCTCGATCTTCAGCTTTTCTTTTTTTTTTCCAGCTGAGAAAAATGCCTTTCGCATACACACACCGCCCGTGGAGACGGTGAGGTTATGTGGGGCTTGCACCCACTAAAAAACTCAGCTTTCGTACCGTCTTCTGCCTTTTCGGAGAAGCCACGAGGACCAAAAACGACTTTCGAGACATCTTCAGCTTTTCTAGTCCAACCCCTGTTAACTCCATCTAACTGGAGTGTAGTGTCATATAATACGGCAAAACTATGTAGTTTGTACTCGGCTGTACAGCTTTTACTCTAAATCCTACACGATTTCAGAAAAATATCATTTGCAACTCTAAAGGGCCTACGCTACCGCGGCCTTCGTGTCACGGCTTCTGCCGTGCAGCATTTTGAACATATCCTATTAAGTTTTAGTGAACAATTTATAGGAAAAACGACCCTTATTTTTGCAGATTAATTGAAATTAACGACTTTATTTCAACATTAGCATTTTGTGAAGTTTTCGATACTTACTCGAATTTGACTTCAGGGAGTGTTACAGGGTAGGGTCCCAAACTGGCAAATTTGAAGGGATTCATTTGAGGCACACTCTTTACGAAGGATACGAAGGCCCCAGCCTTGTGCGTCGCATGCTTGTCTTCAGCAGACAATGGGGCGGACTTCTGTGGTACAACACCTGTTCTTGTTGCAATATGGAGAGGCCCAACCACCTCGTGCCCTGGAAAATAGGAAAATTTAAACTTAAATCATTTTAATAACATAACAGCGATGCAAAATTTTATATTCAAAGTGCCATACTCCAGAGCAGGAGAAGGAACAGGGGGTTTTTTAGCCAGTAAGAGTTTGACACTTCCTCCCGCCCGGCCCTGGGCGGGAGAAGTCATTGGATGATTTTCCCCTCACAAAAAAAAGTGCCATACTTCGGCACGAATGGATCGACTCGGCCGGACTGATACTACTACTTCACAGAAAACCGGCGGGATACAATCATAGTGTTGTGTTTCGCCGTGGGAGTGAGGTTACCGGAAGCTTAATCCTTCTCCTTCCCCGATCCTAATTAATTCGAAACACTTATGCCCAAAAGGCCTAATCCATCTGATGGTTTGATATTTCATAAAAAAATATACTTATTATAGATAGTTTTGAGAAGAATCATCTCAATCCAAAGATTGGTTCTTTATAACACTTAATTCTATAGAGTTTGGATCGGTTATTGAAACAGCCAGTTAGTCAGAGGACTTAAAGAAATAATAAAAAAAATATATAAAAAAATATTTTTTTAATCTTAATCATTTAATTTAATAATTACTCACATGCTTGAGCCGAATAAGCGATGGAGAGTAGAATTAGGAATCCCTTCATTTTCGTATCAATTGTCTTGCACCACTGCGAGCATTAGAAAGTATTCATAATATATAACAACGTCCGTAATCATTTCCTTAATTACTTATTTGTTGACAAGAAATTGATTTTTCAGTGAATAAATTAAACGGTGTTTTATCGTATCCATGTCTAATATAACGGCTTGTACTGGTTATTGGAACAGGGTTTTAGTGCCGATGGTAATTTTTTTTTTGTAAATTAAGTACCTACTTTTTCTCAAAACTAAATTTCGTATTTTGTTTATGAATTCTGTTCATTTCTACTATGTACACATCATTAGCCTGTGAGTGCTTACTGCGAAAAAAGGCCTGTTTTTAAACAGAGAAGTAATGAGTATTAATCATAAAGCGATTTAGGAATCATTGTAAGTTCAGGTTAACTCGAGGCGTTTTTCTTCACCGTATGTCAGAGGTATAGTTAGAAAGTACACATAAAGCCACACTGGCACTTGCAAGGTTTCGAACCTATAAACAAAGTGTGCGCTTAGGTAAACGTTGTGCACTGTGTCATTGTGTGTATAAAAATATCAATTTGTAATTAATAATTATTAATACGTTTAACGCCATGGGGGTCACAGGTGACCTCAATTAGCGAAGGATTTGCCTTCAACAGTTTTCTGTCGGCAGTCAAAGGCTTAATTTTACCAATTAATTCATTAATACGCATTTAAAACTATTATATAAACACCTGTGGCGACGCACATACAACATTCGACAGTATAAATGCTGTATTTTCTATTCCGTGGTAATTAATATACATAGATAATAATTTTAAACATGTGTAGAAAAATCACGAAGTAAGTATAATACGGTAGTTTCCAACTAGTCAAATTCAATACTTTTATCCAAACGTTAAAAACGATACTTTTCTATGAAATTTGTATGAAAAACTGAGCTATGACGTCACAACTTCTTTGCGTCAAATAGATTACTTATTTCTTGATAATTAGCTAAAAAAAATCTAAAAATTAGTGTATCGATCGATCGATGAATAGAAGTAGGTATAGTTATTTTTCAATATTTTATTGTAATGAAACGTCGAAATAATTTATTTTTGATCTAGGAAACTACCCAGTTGTAGAGCCTGCCGGTCATGATCATATCGCCACAGATGTCTTCCGACCTTCGATTTCGACGCTTCGATCGATTGCAAGATCCCCTCTTTACTCTCTGTTCCCTACAAACCCTAGGCGGTGTCTGTATAAAATAATTTCTTATTGTAATCATACTATTCTTGTCTTGTCGTCTTATGAGTAGGTTGATTTATCTTATCAATAGCACATTGAGTTCGATTTTGGAATTTTGGATATTAATTTGCCATTACTGAAAGTGCTGAACAAAGGGTTCTCACAGGGAGGTTTAAGCATTAATCACCAAGCTTGCTCAGCGCGAATTTAATATTAGAAAATTTAAGTCCAGGTTTTCTTACGATGTTTTCCTTCACCTTCAACCATAGTACATAATTATGACTCGGATAATGTCACACTGGTACATGCCAGATTTTGAACTCGTCGCCTTATTTTTGGCAGGGGAAAATCATCAAATTACTTACTTCTCCGAGGAGGGAGTGAATCTTGCTGAATAAAAACCACTCCGATCTTTCTCCTGCTCTAGGCCTCGTTGCCTCATAAGCTCGCCCCCACAGCATGAGAAGCCTAATAAAATTTGATTATATCATTTGTAAAACAATTATTGACCGTTTCACTAATTTTTCACACAATCTTATTTTTTACAAAACAATAAAATTGTCATATACAAAATCATGCATGGTGTAATTGTGTATTTTATATAGGTCGACAGAAAAGTCCGCGATGCCATAATTATTTCTATATTTTAAGGATAACATACTATATCCGTTTTTATACTAACGCTAACTTGGAAAGCCAAAGCCACGGCTCAAAGAGAGATCATACCGGTGCTATAACAGCGTACCGGAAATGTTTGCCCTTGTGATTTATTAATTGTTCCGGCAAAAGATAACATATAAATGGAAATTGTTTTACTTTAAATTTAAAGTAAGTAAATCATCATTATGAAATTATTGAAATGCAGGGTATGAGTAGGCACTATTTGAAACTATTGCAACGACCACGTTATTGCAAACAAATTTGACATGAAGTCGGATTAACATTTCCAAGTAAAATTATTGGGGCATTTATTTTTAACTTCAGAAAAGGACAGGATAGAGCACACTTTCTTGACCCAATTAAGTATATCTCCTGGAAGTTTAGTTAAAATTAGGTCGTTGATTTCCTCACCACCAATAATAGGCCTTTGACACATCCACTGGAAATCTTTAGTTTCTTATTTCGACGATATGAGGCAGCAAGCATCACTTCCCCTACGTCATCCGCCGCCGGATAACGAAACGCATCGTTTTGTCTCGAGCATCACGCGCGTAACAATTTTGGTGAGGAGTTAGTTTTTAAATTGTAGTAAGTATCTTCTAAGATGTTAATTTTAAATTAGCTAATGTCATGGACAATTGTAAAAAAATATTCTTCAGTTTTATAATAATTTTCTATAGATATATAACAACGTAAAGTCAACTACTACTTAGCATTTTTCAACCGGTTGTAACTTCAAAACTTAAGGTCTCCTTACAAAAATCACTAATATTACCACTTTTCCTATCTACCACTTTTCAGCTTTATAAAAATCCAATCCTTCCCGTCGCTCAATACCTCCGCAATCCTAAAATCTCCTAATCCCCAAAATGTCGGCGACGCACTCGTAACTCCTCTGTTGTTGCGGGTTTCCATGCGCTGCGCTTATTGCTTACCATCAGGTAATCCGTCTGCTCGTTTGCCGACCAATTAAATAAAAAAAAAATGGACATCCTTAAACCCAAAAGAATTACGAGTAAGTAGGTTGCCGGCCTTTTTGGGTTTCAGAGATTTAGGGTGGAGGAAAGATTGGGCCTACTTACACAGCGGAACACAACGCTGTGGTTGTTTCACACCGATTTTCTTTGAGGCCGTTGAAGGCCCGTTGTATCACTACCACCCATTCGTGCTAGTTCGTAGGTGTACCTACCGTATCGTACACACTAAAGGATGCATGTCCAAAAATTGATTTATACCAATTTGAAAATTCATATAATTTCAAAATAAACGTTAAACACAGGAGTTTTAATATTATTTTAATATCGTTTAATATTATAAGGCAAAAAATGCCCTAAAATATTTTTGAATAAAGTAGCAGGACACACGTTGCTTACGGTAGTAAATACAGTATTAGAGTCAACAACTAGGACGCCCTAGGACCCGCCCTGACTTTAGAGATTCAGGGCTGGTCCTAGTTTGGTGCAAGCTGTGCAACCGCACTGGGCGCCGTTACTGTAGGGGCACCAAAATGTGAGACAAAAGACGTCCAAATAACATATCTATAATTAAATTAAATTCTTTATTTTAGGCAATGACGTATTATATATAGACACGTCATGAACCAACATCGCGGCGCTTAAAAACGGCGAAAATACTAGATAACTACTTCTACGAGTAAAGAAAGGGAAAGCAAATATGACATCGTATAGTGGAATGCCTTTGCTAGAGGGAGATAAATATACATCTTCAGTTATGCCGACGGCACGTGACCTTCATGCGCTGGCCGCCATAAGATGGCGGGCGCCGGCGTCGAAAAAAATAAAATAAAAATAGGTTGTTTGGTGAACTTACGCATGAAATGACACATTTTTGTCTTTAACTTTTGGAGTATAATTTGTACATCGTCTGAACACACACGACGACATGCTTTCTTTGTGTTTCGCACAGGTTTACACACGATATAAATTAAAAACAAACGTAGCGTCGCGCGGCAGGTTGGTGCGTAACTAAACGCGATGTTGTCAATTGCCTTCATTTCATGTTGTCATTTTAGAGCGCGGACAACGTATCTATAGTTTTATACATCATTGATTTTAGGCAGGTAGAAAACATTTTCAATATTTATAAATTATTGACATGGACATCAGAACGCACATGTCTACTTGTCCAGTGCTTAATAAACGGTCCATCAATTTTGTCTGCCAGTATAGTTTACTGTTAGGACTATCCCTCAATCGCCGCATCATGAATGCACATCGCATGCGTATAATGGCATAGAAGTCATCTATTCTGCCTTCTGCAAACATTCCAGGCGCGCTACACCATCAACGCACTCCCAAAAGCATCCTCAGCGCATTATTATATTAAACAGTATACAGTTAATGTGTATAAGAGTACCTATTTTGGGGAAAGGTTAGGGTTAAACACACAATATTATGAGTATTTTTATAACAACAACAAACAAACTATTAATCGATAACAATTTATATTTTGGCATTTTGTTTTATGGTGAAACGATGTATTGTTAAGTCGCCTAAGCAAGCATAAGTCGGTCGTTGAATTAGTCAAAAAGTCAATTATTTTGTCTATTTCAAGCATGTTTAAAAATAAAACCTTTTAATATCTTATTAAGTAATATACTTTAGTAACTAATAGAATTTACGATAAACATTATATAATATAGACTGAGAGCTGCTACTGAATATTCAAGGAATGCTGTATGTAAACTTGAATTTTCGAAAATAGTATTGAAGTTCTTTTGCTTTCAATTCTTCGAATTGCCAACAACAGCTTTCTATATCTTTCTATGAATTTTGATTTAATTTTTATTGTGTGAAATAATATACCTATTTTCTGATTTTAGTGCGAAATAATTAGTTTTCACTAAGTCAAGTAATCAATTTAAATAGTTGTCGTCGTGGTCTTATCGTAGCATTGCATGCAAAAAGTCATTAATTAGGTACACAGATTGCTCGATGAATTTATGTAATAGGTACCTACACTACAATTCATTAAAAAACAAACATGATGCAATTAAAAAAAATATCGATAAAATTTTATTTTAATTTAAAAAACGCTTTAAGAAACCTATAAGAAAAAAGTACCTAACTTCAAAATCTTAGATAGGTAAAACCTTTTTTAAAACGTTTTTAAGTTACGTTAACGTTTCGTTTGTGTATTTCAAAAGTTTAATAGTAGGTACCTACATAAAAGTAATAACGTATGACGTGGCGAACCTCCTTGCCGGATCACCACCATCAATGAAACAATGAAACAATGAATTTATTTTTGCAAATAGGCCATAAAACGGCACTTTTACACGTCAAATTATATGTGAAAAACTAGATGAAGCCGGCATTTCCTATCTGACTACTCTGAGAAGAAATGCCGAAACAAACTCAGAGGTCAGTCTCTTTTCAAGTCCAGACAATATAAAATGACATTTAATGTGAGAGAACCGTGCAAGTTCATTCTGTAGTGGTCTTTTGAGGAAAGAACCACACCAGTTTAAGTGGACCCGTTCTGAAGACAGGCATGCAAGTGTCAGTTTGCAACCAGTATAGCTAGTGCTGTTGTGCTGCATCGGATCTGAAGGTGAAGGCGTGGCCCAGTTTGGTCGCTGACGCGTGTCGCCGGGGCAAAAATCCTCTACCGCACCAGCTTAGTGCGTGGTGGAATGAGCTATATCACGATCTCATGGCAGATTGGAAGCAACGTCTAATACTCATTAATCTAATAATAATAAATCATTTATTGCAGAGACTTGCTCCATAATTTCTTAGTACTTAATACAACTTACGTAACTATGTTAGTACTTACTATTTAACATATAAAAATAAAGCCTATAAAGTAAACAAATCAAAAGAAAATAACCTGTAAGACCGCTGTTTGAGGAATAGGTAGCGAGATTCCATGACGTCCTCACCATCCGCGTGACGCATAGGCTTGCCGGACACGAAAGCATTTCCTATTTCGGATCTGGTGGGAGGAAATGCCCGAGTGTCGTCATTGTGAGGTCCAACCAGAGGACACGGTGGAGCATATGGTGGCGTTGTTGGCTGGTTGTTGGCTACTTGGACTGAGCACCGCCGTGTCTTTAGGGAAGTGATCGGCGGCGGCGAACTCTCGTATCCAGCCGTATAAAGCGAGAGGAACTGGGAAGCCGTCTCCTCTTTCTCCAAAGCAGTGATGCTAACAAAGAAGAAGGCGGAGCGCATGAGGGAACGATCCTCCACACGCCCCAGTCGCCCCTGCAGGCAACACTTCGGGCGTTGGGATCGACGGGCGATCTCCAGCCACCGTTTTTTTTTTTTTTTTTTTTTTTTTTTTTTTTTTTTTTTTTTTTTTTTTTTTTTTTTTTTTTTTTTTTGTGAGGGGAAAATCATCAGAGGAGGGAGTGTCAGACTCTTACTGACTAAAAACCCCCCTGTTCCTTCTCCTGCTGGGAAGCGTGGGTCTACGAACGGCGAGGAAGGGTAGCTCGCCACCCGACCAGAACCAGACCCGACGTACGGCAAAAAAAAGAAAACGTAGGTATGAGGTAAACCTTTTAAGGTTTTCAAGCTATTTTATTTGTGTACTTCTAGGATTCGTCTTAAAAGTCTTGTTTTTTTACTCATAAATTTTGTTGGTTAATTTTGTTACACTCATTGTTATGCGTCGCTTACATTTCTCCTTTCGAAAGGATTACAGGAAGAAATTCCAATCTGGGTCTTCTGTTTCTGTTTTACGATTTACTTTTCTTTATAATAAAGGGGCTTATTACGTTTAATTAAACCACAGAATTAAACCATTGAGTCAGGTTTTGTATTTTGAATCTTACTCTCACC